GGAATTGATTCCGGGAAACCTGACAGTTAGTCCCGGTTCCAATCGGTGCTCGATGTCCAACTCTATTTAATTGTTAACCAGTTTTAAAATCGAATTCCTCAATGTTGTATATAATTTACCTTATCTATTAAACAATCATTAAACCCCAAAAGCAAAAATACAGTATATAAATTAAAAGGTTGTATGTGGGCTTAAAACCAAAGAAGTTGTCCAGTGGGCTGATCTGAAACCCAACACTGTTCTACTGTGACCTCCAGTATCACAAAAATAGAATCAAGAGATAACTTTTAGCATTGAATGAAAAAACACAACTATGTAAACATAATCCATAAATGTCCTTGCACATTAGTGAAGGTTTGAGGTATAGTTGGACAACTGTCCCACAAAGTTCTAGTGTTATACTGGACTAGTCTCTTCATATCTCATCTACAAAGACTCAAGTATGTCACCTGATGCAAAACAGCATCAAGATTTATCATCAGATTTTGCACGAATATCTCCTCTGTGAACCTTAAGTTATTTAAACGTGATTAAAAAGTGAATGTGCTATGACTCAGGCTTCTACCCTTTGACTTTATCCAGTGATCGTAAATCTTTCAACCATCTGTCCTGTGGTAAATCTCCACCTTGATCTCAGGCTTGTGGCGTTATTAGCCATTGACGTAAGAGCAAAGGAGTTTCCCGTCTTAATGAGTTTACGCTGTTGTCAGCCTTTTATTTTTTTCCCATGGACCCATGTGAGGCTTACCTGTCCTACAGTAAGGGAATACCCAGTGCACGTCAACAAACCACACTAGTTTTGTGGATGGGAGCTCAAACCCTGAAATGCAGTGAAGGAATGCCTTTTGTAGCCTTATTTTAAAAGCTTCCCAGTAGAACCAGTCACTTAATAGTTTTCATGTGAAACGGTGTTGGGCCTGGGGGGTCAGAGCTGTCAGAAATAAGACACCTCCTGACCTTGATTATGTTTATAGCTTTTTGTTGGCCTTTATTTTGTCAAAGACATTTTCATTGTTCAGAAACAGATTTCTTTTAATCCTACGGTGTCATGGTGGAGGTTGTGTGTAGCTTACGGGGGTCGGGAATGTGATGTCTGACTTGCTCAGTTTTAACTTCTGAATATATCCACAGGACACTCTTTCATATGAGACACAGAGCTGCTCGTCTTTAACACTGAAAGGAGTCGGAGTAGCTTTCAAGGGCAAGAAGATCTGTTTGAAATATGATAACATTTTGTTTGATTTAACCTTATAAAAGCAACCCACTACAACACCCCAAGTGTTAAGTTATTGGAAAACGTTTTTCTTTTATGACTTTTCAAGACTTTATTAAAAATGTTTAACTTTTTTCATCCTACTATATGTTTATCATTATTACTATTATTATTATTATTATTATTATTATTATTCATTTTTTGTGTGAGGTTTAGTTCTTTGAGATATAAAAAATAGACAAATTATATTTGAAATACCCATTACATTCTATGAATAATATCTCTAAAGGTTAGAAAAGACGTATGTTACGATCCAAGCTGTCTAGGGGGCCTGGGGTAACAAGGAGGACACATGCTCGGGTGTTTAAAAGTTAACTTAAACAAATTTATTCACACCAAGGAAAATTACTAAACACAACAGGACTAATCGGCAGCAACTAAATAGTAAAACAAAATAAACTCTACTTAGCCAATATAACTACAAATCAGGGAAACCCCTGCACATAAAAGACACAAATTGGCTAAAAGAGTTTAAAACAAAAGCTCGCCGAGGAGCCAACAGGACAGAGACCACATGTCTAGCCTGTTGCTCCCTGATGATGAGGGCTGGGTGGCTTTTATGCAGTGAGTTCAACTGCTGATTGTCATTGCCACCAGCTGGGACTTCAGGGTGGGGCCGGACAGGTGTGGGAGAAGCCAGGTGCTGCAAAACTGCTCCTCTCACACAAGAGGGATAAAACAGAGGAGTAAGAAATGAAATAAAAACATAAATGGCACCAGCCATAACAACATACAAGGTTAATTTTCACTTGTAAACTGAGGTCGGTCAAATCCACTCCTAGACAAGGTATAGCTGGTGCTATAAGGATCCTCCTGAATTACCTGGAGGAGTTATATGTGTTATTTGTGTGTGTGTGTGCGTGTGTGCGCATGTGCGTGTGCACGTGTGCGTGCGTGTGTGTGTGTGTGTGTGTGTCTGCTCTGTCTTCTCGATCCCCCGTGAGTTGTGATGGATGGCTGCCTATAGAGCTCCGGACCCCACGTGACTCTCAGTTAGTAGACACCATATTGGCAGTCAAAAAAGGTAAACAAACACGGATCGTAAACATGAACATGAACGGGATCGGCTTGGATTTTACTTCGTCGAAGTTTACTTCACACTTTAAAACTGAAGAAATCGTTTTATATAATCAGAAATTAAATAGACTAAACATCTCCGACCCTTACCGTGCCCCTGGGATACTTTTTAAAAACGCCAGAAGCTGTCGGAGCGGACTTCTTACCGGACCTGGCCGGGAAACCCCTTGGGATTTCCCGGGAGGAGCTGGCCCAAGTGGCTGGGGAGAGGGAAGTCTGGGCCTCTCGACGCTGCTGCCCCCGTAACCCGACTCCGGATAAGCGGATGAAAATGGATGGATGGATGGACAAATAACAGATTTACATGTAAGTAGTTTAAATAGTGCTGTGCTGTTTGAATGTATAAACTGAACGCCAAGAGAAATCACTAGTTTGATTTTTTTCCGTGAATAAAATAAATATGTCAGGCAGGAGCATCTCAGGATCTGTCTGAGATCTGTCTCGGTGAGACAGATAATAGCAATCCAAAGTGCTTTTTATGTGGGATCTGATAATTGACCAACCATTGCTTAAAAATTAAATACAACTTAGTCGGTTAATTGCTGTTATCATAAAACACGCAAACGGCAGCACGCAGAACTCACGAGGCACCGTCTTACGCGATGTTTACTTGTTGCTATGAGTAATAAGACCACGCCAAAATATGTTTAGGAAGCCCACTAAGAATTGTAATAAAAGCATTTAAAATAAACACCATACACAGTTGAGGAAACGTTGGTTTAAGTACCTGATATGAAGTGGTCGCTGCATAAGTGAAAACCTTTACTCTCGGGATCCCACAGCTTCATTTTAGCCCGGTCACTAGCGCGTTTTATTACAGTGATCCAACATTTGCGGCGTTCCGGATCTTGGGGAATCCTGTAGATGGCTCATTCCTTATGTCGTCCGCGTCTGTTCTGCATCCTGGGGCACAACAGGAATCTACCATATTTCTCGTTTAATTGAGTTTTCTGACAATAACAAATAGTCCAGCTGCGGGCTTCTGCCTGCCAATATGGCGCCGTTTCGATTTGAACTGTTGCATGCCGAGAGAAGTGAAGTCAACTCCCAGAGCTCTATACTGAGCTAGAATCCTCTGGAGGTTTCTTCCTCTTAAAAGGGAGTTTTCCTCTCCACTGTTGCTGCATGCTTGCTTAGTATGAGGATTGCTGTGAAGTCACTGACTTGTGTCAGTGACGCAATCTGCTGGGTTCCTTATGTAGGAAACCTTTTACTGATTGGCTTTGTGACGTGCCATGAGATGACTCTTGTTTGGCGCTATATAAATAAACTGAATAGAAATTAATTGTGTTGGTTTCATTCTGTTAACCCAATGTTTTTAGGCTCCATTTGTAACCATCCATTCATCCATCCATGGATGGCGCTATACAAATAAAGGTTGTGATGATGATGATGATGATGATGATGATGAACATCTCAAAAACTATTGGATAGTCTTTACTAAGAAATGTTGAGTTTTCCTTGGTGTTTTTTTCCTAAAACATAAGCTTAAGAACATATCGGCCACAGTCTAATGTTCACACCTCTGATGGCAATAGCCAGCATGTCTTTGCACAAGATCTGATGAGTTAAAGGAGAATTACATTCATGTGCTGCTTGGTCAATTTTGGATTTCTTTCTCCTCCGATCTGTTTACCGGCGTGTAAAGCCGAAGCTGTTTCATTGATTGATTTGTAAAACAAAATGAATGGTTAAAATGAATGGTTTTCTCGAGGATTGTAACTGATTATAAAGACATCCCAGTTTGGATTCATGGACAGAAACCTTAGTCAAGATGCTCTTTCTAAATTTGGGAACACATTATTGCACCAATCATCATGTAAAACGACATGACTGATTTCTTGACACGATTGGACTCCCCTTACACAAGCAGTTTTACCAATGCAAATCCAAAACCTTCAGAAAATCCACCAGAGACATTAAGATGTTAAAACTGCCCCATTTTTTACAAATTCATATTGAATAGGTCTTGTAAACACCTATGGTGTCACACCCTTGTTGATAAATCCTGTGTTGTCACAACCTGAGACTTTAGCCAGAAGTCTCCTTTTTAGCAGACGTCATAAGACTCTAATCCAGCACGTGAAGAGCAAGTCAACCTTAAAGCTCAGCGGCCACCTCACCTGATTTGGAATGCGTCTTGATCACCAGCAGGTGAGAGCAGGCACCGCTTTTTCCTCTCACAGAAGAGCAACTCTTGTCTCTGAGCCAAGAACGAAGCCCTCTGACGCATTTGCTCCCTCCACTACAATCTGGAGGAACCCCGGAGACCAGATCAGTGCAACCTTAAGCTCCTCTAGGGATAATAGGCGGGCTGCGCAGCGGCTGGAGGGCGGCCTCAGGGCATGGAGCGAGGTGAAGAAAGGAAGATGAGAGAGGAGCAAAGTTGATAAAGAGGAAGGAAGGGAGAGATGGGTGAAGGAAAAGCTGCAGGGTTGGAGGGTTTGGGGAGATTTTGTCTAAACTTCAGTCCTGAAATAAAACTTTTTTTCTCTGTGTTCAGTTTCCTCTGCTGTGTGTTTCACCTGCTCTCCATTTGTTGCATGGTCAATTTTTATTTCTACAATACAGAAATAAAAAAACAAGCCTGAATATGTGACTGTTTTATTTTGACGGGCTATAAATGTGTGGACATCGTTGACTCTTTCAGGTCAATTCCACTGTGGGAACAAACGCTGTGAGAAGGAGGAAGGCCTGAAGAGCTGGGAGGTGAATTTTGCCTACGTGGAACACGGGGAGAAGAGAAATGCTTTGGTGAAACTCCGTAAGATAATGAAACACATTTTAACATAATGATCTCTGTGGGAAAGCACCTAACCAGCTCATTATAACCGGTGCGTACACTGCTGAGAATAATGGTAAGATGACTGCAGTTTGAGTCGGGGTTAAATCCGTTTAAAAGAGGGAGGAATGGATTATTATAACAAGCCAAAGACACGGGTCACACCTAAACACAGCATCTATGTTCTTCAAAAGATTCCCTCAAACTTTTCAAAGTCTAAACTGAATGTTGTGACTAAAATATGAAGCCCAGGCAAACCTGGTTACTGAAGGTCATCCATGAGAGCAGAACATCCACCATGTTGTTGATGCGAAACATAACAAGGTGGTTTCAATGCCAAGACAGAAATGCTGTCTGCTGCCATTTCCAAGTCACACACACGCCAACACACTGATAAGAGTAGCTGCTGAGGGTTGGAGCGGTGTACCTGGTACTGCAGCATGAGAATGGTTGGGTGCAAGTCGACAGAAGGCACTCGAGTAGACACATGTGGTCTCAAAATAAACATTGCATGGCTGTGTTAATTACTCGATGCTTTTGAAAGATAGATGATAGAAAATTAAAGATTGGAAATGCTCCAAGTTTACATTAGTAAGTTCTGCTACCTGCTAGTCAGAAAAAGCAGACAAGTCACACTAGTTGCAGTAAAACATGAAGTACTAATAATATAAATGTAGAAATGTACCAGGGGTGGTGAAGTGTACAACAGAAATAACAAAACTAATGAGTCATTCTGAGGTTTTATCAACCGTCACTTTCAAAGGTGTAGGAAACCTGTTCAATCAGTACACTTGCAATGGTCTCTGGTGGGAATGAATGCCTTGCGAGTCGTACTCGAGGCAACCCCCCCCCCCCCCCCCCCCCCGCACACACACACACACACACACACACACACACACACAAACACTGGGAACATCATGGACAAGTCTGGCGCAGCAGAGAGTGGCACAACATGACAGGATTTGGAATCTTATTTCTTGATTTTGGATATCTTTCCTCGGATTGGAAAACAACATGACTCTACCACTTATTTTGCAACGGCAACAACATTAGCAAAGCATTTTTACAGATGTTTGTTCCAGAGGAGCTGGTCGTGATGATGATCTTTTTGTTTTTTGTCTGTTCCAGGACTTTGCCCTGAATGCTCTTTCATGCTCAACTACCATCACAAGTAATCCAACTTTACATTCGTTTTTAGACTGAAAAATCTTGGTTATTTTAGTCTCAGATTAATTTTTAAGATGGTTCTATTTGTGCCTCCTTTCAGGAGAAAGGAAGTGAAGGTAAAAACAAAAAGAGGGATAATGGAGGAGAACAGGGAGCCAAAGAAGAAGAGGAAGAGGAGGAAGAGATCATCGTCTAGTACTAAGAAACACAAACACAAGAAGAGGAGAGGTACAGCTCCTCCTCTCACCTTTTCAAATCAAATAAGTACTACTCTTAACAGCTGTAACCAGATCAGAGGGCAGCCTCCTGGAAACTGTTCTGTTTACTTGTTATTCCCTGAAATGACACAATTCCATTAAGATGTCGGTTTTATCTGATTGTTCCCAGCCGATCGCTCCACCTCTCCCAGCAGCTCCGAGTCACAAAACTCGGACAAAGGTAATGTACACAACTTCCCAATCCACACACACACACACACGCTTTGGGCAGCTGCTGCTCTCCTCCTTGACCTTTGGGGCCATGTCACTCCAAACTTTTCAAGTGATAATGCACGGACAGATCTCAGTGGAAGCACACACATTAACCCTGCTGTTAATGCTAATAGACTGACAGCAGGTCTGTTTTCTCGCTGTTGGCGTTTTATCTCTGCTCCACTTTTATTTTCACCACGAACAGCATGGCACGAAGTGTGCTTTTGCCCCGTGTGCCTGTTTTTGTTTATTCTGAGATCTTGACGGATGAGCGGGTGGGTGGCTAAAGGTGTTCTCACACAAGCAAAGTGTCCTCTGTGCAAATGCTATGTCATTAAGCTCAGTATGCAACAAGAGTTACTCTTCTGTTTCTAGTTTCACTCACAAACGTGTGTAATTTGTGCACAGGTATTCTAGCAGAGGAAGGAAATGAACGTATTAAAGGGATAGTTCAGATATTTTGAAGTGGGGTTCTATAAGAAGGATATGAACAACCAATATAAAAAATATTTGGTAGCCACCGATTGTGCAAGCTGTCACTCGTAGTCATGCTAACCCTAAGCACTTGCTGCTGAAGGTTTTAATATTTCTACCAAAATAATGAGGTAGAATAAATAAAATAGTTATTGCATCTATTGCTAAGAACCTTTTTGTATTGGAGATGTTTTATTACCGTCAGTGAGGGGAAAAATATAAGAGCAGTCTCATAAAAACAAAAACGTTTTAAATCTCGTTTTAATGAGAACTTTTCTGTAACACTTTACAATAAGGGTCCTTTTATTGACGCTACTTAGTGGATTATTAATAACAATTATTTTATATTTATGTTAATATTAAACAAACCATTACTAAGCATGCACACAAACTCAGCCCTTTGGCTTAACCTTAAGGAAACGTAATATTTAATAATATAGGAAACGTTAATAAAGGGATTCTTTATTTATTAATGCTTAATAAGGCTTGGTGAGCAATTATCAGCTTCAGTACCTAAACCAGTTCTATATTAGATTATGCACAACTGCAGCTAGGACATTAGCTTAGCAATGCCAACCTCAAAGCCTTTTTCATTTTCAGTTCGCAAAATAAGTCAATCGTTTCAACAGTAAGTGATATATTTTGGCTAAAGCCAACTTTAACTTAAACAGCTTCTTGCTCGTTATGGAAAATGATTTTTTTCTCACATGGGATTATAATGAGAAGAATTACGAGGCTCAGATGGTGAAAGAGGATTTCAGAGGGCACAGGGCATCATTTCCACACACGGGTTGGCCACCTGGTAGGGAAGACAGTCCAAATCTTGTTCATTAATAACGGATCATGGGGGAAATTTATTAAAGGTCTACAGAAAATAAATATTGTGACATTGCTGTAGGCTTACTGGATTTATGCCTCTGCAAATTCAAACACTTTCCAAAACTAGTTAAACGTTTAACTGTATGATTTGTTTTTTACTTTTAAATCTGGTTGTGCATGTTTTTTTTTTTGTTATTTCAATAAAATCTGACTTATTATAATAAATGCACCACTTCCTACACTCACTAGTGCTGAAAAACTCACTTTTTCTAGAAAAGATGCATTTATGCACTACAAAGCACAACAAAATGTGTTATTCAGTCAGAAAAAGTTAGAAAATCACTGCATGGTGGTCAGAGAAAGGTTGTGATTTGAGCATGAATAGTAGCTGATTTTAATTTTTCCAAATCTCTCTAAAAATCAGAGCAAATGAATTCACCCCACTTCTAACAGTAGCTCTAAAAATGGTGAGAAATTGTCACAAGTTGACTGAGATTCTGACACTTCCCAAACAGACAGCGTTGCTGGGAACGAGCCAGACGGCCAATCAGAAGCTGATCACTGGCGAGGCCCCGCCCCCGCTGTGGAGGAAAAATCAAGGTGAGCTTAACAGCTAATGTTCGTTTTAGAACTCGCCCATTAAGTTCCTGTAAAACCGTCACAGACAGTAGTTTGTGTTCTGCACCGTACGGTCATATTGTAATGTAAGTTGCTGTGGGCGCACGGGCAGAATATCTTGCCCTCCAGTCAGAACCCGAAAACACCACCAGTAGGCAACGACTTATAAAACGTTACACTTTATTACACAAACAATAAGACACAATAATAGAACACTATGGCCAGAGTCTTCTCTCATAAACCCAGCTGTCCAGCAAGAGCAAAACAAGCAGCGGTACTTAGCTGTATCAGATGATGACCCCCTCCCCGGGGTCTGAGCTTCCAACGCCGTCCAACGCCCTGGGGTGCAGCTTGCGAGGACGGCAGGTAAGTCCACAGCATAAGTCCAACTGCCAAAGTCCGTGGCGGCAGATATCAGCGTGGTCTCGGCATCCACTATGCCCAGCCCTCGCTACCTAAAGAAGGCAACCAGCCTTCCCTCCTAACACTGGAACGCTGTACGCCTACTTAACTGTCTTCGTCGCTGGCAGCCCTAACCGACTGCGAACGACGCCACCCCCCAAAGTCCGATGCCACAATGACAGGTCGACCACGCACACCTCTCAGTAGACCTTTCACCCATTTTGTCCTCCCTGGCCTCGTTATCCATAACGAGGACCAGCTGGTGTCCAATCACCACACCCTCAGAGCCCGGCAGCTTCCGTCTTCTGTCTATCACAGTATTTATACCTGTCACACCGCCGGGAGAGCAAGGGCGCTGACCTTTAACCTTTAGGATAGTCCGTTTTTAGATGATCAAATGTCTCCATCCTGCTACTTGGCATGTATGGTTTGTATCAGTGTTGGTTGTTAACATCGATTCATGTCAGAGTTAATCACGCCCTCTAAAACAGTCAGTAGATTACGTCTGCACTGAGCGTGACACAATCTGACAGTTCTGTGTTTTGGGTGTTTTATCTGTTTAGGGAGGAAGAGTTTGATGAGTACTTTGAAGACATGTTTCTTTGAATCTGCTGGTATCATCGACGGCCCTGCTGTGACTACACTTCCCTTTGGATCCCGCAGACATTAACTATGTTCTATTTGGGTCTTGTGTGCATGAAATAAACATAATGTTTACCCTGCCTCTGCCTGTCAGTCTTCTGTTTACATATCTGGCATTGTCTGTGTGTGAGTCTCTCTGCCGTCACGGTTAAGAATAATTGAAAGTTATTCTAGGCAAGTATTGCTCTAGGGATGAGGGAACGCCGGCTTACATCCCAGCTTTGATTCAGAATAAAATGTCTTTGTAATATTTTAGTGCGTCAGTGGAGAGGATGGTCACTTCTGGGGTTCTTTAACTTTTAATTTGGTCCCAGCATCATCAAAAAGTCATATCCAATGCTCAAGGGGATTTGTTGTATTTGTCTTGACTCTCAAGCCTCCTCTCCACCGGATGTGAAAGCATCACAAAATGTACTTTGCTGCCGTTATACAGGATGTGTTCTTTTCCACTGGCAGCAAAGCGTAACGTTTTGGATATGAAGCAAAAAGAATGCTTTCATTACGTTTCAAGTCTATTTTTTACGCGCTACACTTCCAAAACACGTCAAAGCAGTGAAAAACTTCCAGACACTTTCGAAATATAAATCACATGTAGATAACCTACGTCATTTCCTGTGAAACTCCAATAGCCGACGTAAACCGGACAGAACATAAACCACTGACCTTTTTGGAAACTTGTAACTGTCTTTCTACTTGCTCGTGACTTTGCGGGACCAAGGGCTTGGAAGGCTGTTGCTCCCTTTCCCATCTGCAATGCTGCTGGTTAGAAGGGAGCTAGTGGGTTACAGTACAAGCCGCTTTCATGTCCAGATTGAGACGAAACTGTGGCTTTTGCCCTGGTGAAGACAATGGACCAGGAGGCTGTCATCTTCTCTGCCTTGTTTTAAATCTCTCTTCAGAACCCATTTTTATGCTTTGGCTTTTAACACAGCATCAGAGTCTTAGTTTTATGTATTTTATGATGTGTATCTTTGTGTGTTTTGTTTTTAATTCAATTTTGGACTTGAGTTCAAGTATGTGGTGTTCATGAGTGACGGCAGAGTGGATGGATCAGGGCGTAGTCTGCACTAATGAGGGCATTGCTCCACTCTGTTACTGACTCTTGATTTTCTGGTTTGTTGACGCTTCAACCCTTACCCATGGTCATGACATTTGGATTTTGACTTCAAAAACTAGATTCTCAATCAAACTGGCTGAAATGAGCTTCCTCAGTAGGGTGGCCACTTCAACCTTAGATATAAGCTGGGGCGTACCATCAGCAGAGCTGGGTGGGGCATTCAGTTAGAAGCACTCCTCTGGAAAGTTTTGGGCACATTCCACTTGGAGGAGACTGGGTCAGAACCAGAACTCAAGCCGGCAAAAACTTTTGAGTCCTAGAAGGAGCTGGAAAGTCTGGAGAGGGACTGGGGTTAGCTTATGGACCTGTTATCTCTGCTACCCTAAATGTTGTAACTTGTAAAAAATCGAACATCTTGAACTGGTTTTTATTACCAGTGTGACAGTTTCTGACCTAACAGTGATTGGAAGCTGTTCTGTTGCTTATCAGAACTGTTTTCTGCTGATCATCCGTCCAGGAAAACAAGTAAAACACATTTAAATAACTGTCTATTTTACACTTTAGACCCATTTAGAAATATCACAACAAAACATATAAAAAGAACTGCAGTTAAATGGTGGCACAAAATCCAGGCCTTTAGAGCTGACCAATCAGATAAACCAGAGGTTATTGGAAGTGTAGAGATCTCTCTTGCTTCCTTGTTTTAAATAACGGACTAATCATGCAAACATTTAATACCTGGTTTCTCAGTTCATCATCATGGCTTCAGACCTGTTGGGATAACTATTCTGGAGAAAGTTCAGGCAAAACTTGTTTTAAATCTTGTTCCAAAGATCCAGAGCCACAGACTCATCCAACAGATGACTACAGTTGAGTATTCTGAAGATTCAAATATTTGATGTCCTCAGCATGGTTAAACCACAAAAACAAGGTATTCAAGACATTTTGAATAATATTTTAAATGTCTTTGGCATGTGGCTTGTTGATTTTGGAGTTATGCTGACAAATATTAGTTTTTTTAAATTAATAAATATTAGTGTTTTCTGTACATTTTAGGTATTTATTTTATGAATAGACATTAGTTTTAAAAAAACAAATCATTACATTTAATTTTTTTTCTTTGCAAGTTTTATGCCCTTAATTCAAAATTCAGTAGTTTATAACTTTTCAAACTAGGACCTCATTTCATTTATTAACTATAATCTCTGGTCATCTTTCTAAAGCTTATACTGATTAAAGTAGAAATAAGTGGTATAACGAAGAAAATATTTAAATTCTCACTTAATTTGTGTTTGAAAAACAAGCCATAGCTTGAGACTTCCCTGAGTCTGGAGGCAGATTGAAGCGCTGCGTTTGCTGACATGTAAAAATGGAAACCAGCATGTAAGACTGGTTAGAGATTATAGAGCCTGCCTTAAATAAAGACACGATCTTATGTCCCCTCTTCCTGCTTTGCTTTCACTCCCACTTTCTCTGCATGATTTACTGCAACACAAGCCAACAGGTGGCTGTGGCAGTAAAATTGTGTTGTTTTGGAGTAAAGACCTGGGACATTTCAGTCCCTGGACAGGCAATCAATCACCTTAATTGTCAACATCTGCTTTCTTATAGAAAAGCCTTGCCTTCACATGTGTGCACAAGCCCCAACACATTTCTAGGGAGATATTTCTTCATCTCACATCACACAAAACGATTTAATGTTTTGTGCCCAGCCAGATCTGGGACTCTAAGCTTCCTGGTGGATGTACACTGAGCAGCCATAAATTTAAAACCACCTGGCTAAGCTTCAGTGGGTCACTTTCTACTACCACAACAAACACACAAACATCTGAGGGTGTTTGCTATGAGGAATCAGCAGTAGATCATTTTTGTTCTGTGGCCAACACTCCCAGTCTCACTGGTGAGACTTCAGTTTCTGCATTCTTCATGTGTTACATCTAGTTTTGTTTTGACTTCACGTGTCCTCAGAGCAGAGCTGTCCACTAATCTGAAAGTGTATCAATATTACAAAGATAATAAATCAGACACAGCCAATCAGATGAATCTCTACCCCTCTCCTGGAAATGTGCACAGCCATGGAGTTTTGTGGAGGCTGTCATAATAAAATACTTATTTCCACGGATATTCTCTTAATATATAGAAAAATGCACCTTTTCTCTTCCTGTAATAAGATCGAGCTAGGATCTATGGGGGCTGTACTGCACATTTTATTTATTTTATTTAGCAACGTGTCCACATTATGCCTCTCTCTCTCTCTCTCCCTCTCTTTTTTTTTTTTTTTTTTTTTTTTTTGCAATTTAGTCACCAAGCCCTCCCAAAGTTTCTTTCATTCTTTTTCGTCACACTTGTTGAACTTTCTGACTCTTAGAAACTTCTTTGAGAAGCGTTCCAGATCCCGGTCATCCCATGAAGCAGTACGACTCATAGGAAAACTGAATGTTTATAAACATTTTGAAACAATTTAGGAACTCCTTTACATGTGTTTTAATTTTAATTTCCAACAGCATCATCCCAGTGAGACGCAGGCCTAATAATAAGCTCTAGCTCAGTGTTCTTCTCTTCTGGCAGCCTGATGTACACTACAACCTGATGTAACAGCCATCTGTTTGCAAAGTGCCTGAAACCCACCTCAATTTCCAAGCAGCTCTAACACTTTTAGGTCTGTTTGGCTTTCCCTAAACCTAATAAAAAAGGGACACGTTATCCCACAACCTTCAGCTCACTGCATGCAGAATATGCCAAAAATCAGGACCGGGAGCGGCGCCGAACAGGACCGAATGGGGCAGGGATGAGAATCAGTCCACTGATCCTCTTTCCCCGGAGGCTCATCCAGCTTTGGAGCCTCCCAGATCCTGCACGATATATGACTGAGAAGGAGCGCTGTCGCAGCTAAGCCCCCAAGATACTTTGAGTTCATACTCGGTGTCTGTCCAACTCCTCGTGTGCGTGAGCGCAACATTCCAGATAAAAGCACCACCCTTTCTCTGTGTGCATATGAGACTTGTTCCATAATGAGAAAAAAAAAGTCTTTATTTTTACACCTCCATGACTTCCTACTTTTGCTTACAGGTATTACATCTTGTGACTTAGACATACAGTTGTTTCATACATCAAACGACAAGATTTCTAGTGTCTCAGTGACAATCCTTATGAGGAGAAGCAAGCGTACAGTCCAATACTTTGTGGATCCAAAGAAGAAGCTGCAAAACTTTTTTCATTGCTGTTAATTCCTGGAAGGATCGCTAAAAATGAACTTGAGCTAAAAGTTTCTGTGCAGTTTTGACTCCAGCGATTACAACAGCTTCTCTCTTCACCTCAGGCAGCAGACAAGAAGCTTCCACGTATGCCCAAAGCCTTGCTGATTGGATTAAAAGCCTTTGGTTGATGTCCCATTGATTAGTGAAGACTGCGTTGCTTAACAGGAAGTTGCTTTTACCCCATCTGACAGAAGGTACGGCCCATGCTGCTCAAGGGTTGCATGAGTGGAATGCTCGAGACAAAGAAACATATTGATTCACACTGAAGTGGGTCAGAGAGAGGAGCGGAGAACTTTGGCTGTTCCTTCACAAGATCAATGAATCAACAGTCGCATCTTCACCAACTCTGGCTGTCTGCACATACATATGATAAGACCCAGTTAGCCTCGTTTACCTCCTCTGTAAGAAGGGTATTTAAAGTCTAAAGCTGTGTGGATCTTAAACACTGGCAGGCAATCAAATCCTGTTAAAGCTTCTTAGAGTGGAGGTAGAGCTACTGAACCGTTTTGACTCTCACCTCTTAGACGAGTCAAAAGTTGCTCTCACAGTCTTTGAATTATGCTTCGGTTACAAACAAGTGTACATTTAAAATGTATTCCTATGTGACAAGCTATGTTTAAGTGGTTTAATGAGAAGAATGAGTGAAGGTCAACATGAGTTAGTTGGAGCTAACTGCTGCGGTTAACGCTACACAATAAAAGCAGCTTGAAGGTGTTCACCAAAGCCGGTTGTAAAGTTTCACATCTTCTTCACCTGTTCAGATTCAGAACGTCCCCTCTGAAAGCTAACCTCAAGATCTCCGCTCATGGAGACAGTTCAAGTACAAAATACTCCATCAAAAAAGGTATACTGATATATTAGCATTTATAAACCTTCGCACCATTGATCAATGCTCTTATGCAATTGGTTAAGCACCACTACTCGTTTTTTCATTGCCAACACAACACTAAGTGAATTTTTTGCCTTTGTTCCCACTGAGCATATTTCTGTGCGAGGTGGGTGAGTGATTTCTATCTTATCCATTTTATAAAGCTTTCTAAATCGCTTCTGTTTGGAGAAACAGAGTCTAACTCCTACAAGACTGATGTGCTAACGGCTATGTCAAAAACAACCAAGCCCAAAGCAGAGTGCTCATATCCCAAAACAGCTCCAACATCCAACTCTAGCAACAATTCCTGTAACATTATTTTATAATCCTTTACACGCCAATGCTGCATCACATGATTATTAACATGAAAGTCTATTTTTATGTACAAGCACAAATATCACCGGCAGCAGGAAAATCTGCATTCTTGAGTTAAATCCTGCATTTTTGCTGCAATAATTGTGCAATGCAAAAATTAAGGAGGGTGAAAAGGTTCTTAAATTACTTTTCCACAAGAAAATGGTGGAAAAATAAGCCTAGATGGCACATCTTAACTATGAAAAACAGATTTGTAAGGATCTTCTGTGCATTCATTCTGTGTTTCTTTTCTGTGGTTAAAAAAAGAACCAAGTAATGCAGATTTGTAAGGAATGTGACATTTTATAGATTAGAGCCGTTTTATGACAGGATTCTCTTTGGTCTTAGCTGTGTTCAGAGTCAGACTAGTGGTTAGCTCATCAGTCATGTAAGATGTAAAATCCCATTCCTGGAGTTATCTACAATGGGTAAGATAGAATCTATTCATAATTGTAACACACTTTTCTAAATGGTCAAATTTTAATTCAAGTGCTATAAATATGAAGTTCACATATTTCAACTTTTAAAAACTTTTTATTCTGCCTCAGGCTGGCATTCCTTCATTTTGTTTCGCCCTGCCGCTGCTAAAACAGAAACAGCGGCTAAGTGCATTGTGCAACCTACGGTAGGAGCTCCAGTGTTACCTTTTTAAACTGTGTTTCCTGGACAGTTTACACCTCAGCAAAATTCACATGAGTTTATAGAAGCGCGATGTCAAACCATGCCACAAATTGACTATGTTAAAAGGAAATATCTTCCTTTGTTTATTAATGTCCATAGAGCTGTTCAAACCAGGAAAAGTCAAACATTTCTTCAAAGTCAAGCATCTTCTCTTTGCAAAGTCCCAACAAGATGTCTTGATACATTTTTCTTCCGTCCTTGATGATCTGCAGCCGTTATCCAAATCTAAATACTAAGCTAGTACACAGAACCAGAGCCAGACTGGAGGGCAGCAAAGTGAGCCCGAAGGAACTGCCAGATCCCAAAAAAGATGGCTTGTAGATGACTTGTCAAACCAGAAAGACTAGTGCAGTCTAGAGGAGGCCTAATCAGACCACATTAATCCAGGGTAGAGGATCCTAACAGATGGTGCAGGTCTTAGATTTCCCTCCATCGCCACTTGCTAAAAAACAAACAAACAGAAAAGTAAGAAATATGTTGCTTCTGCTCAACAGTGATTATGAGTCAGCCAATTACAAATGTTTAATTTTACCTTTCCGGGCTTCCTCTTCTTCTAGTTTCTTCTTTTGGTCTTCAATAGCTTTCATCTTTGCATTGTATACCTCTGCCAGCTCGTTCCAGTGTGCCCTGTTGTTGTTCAGGCCGTCAAACATGGGCTGGATCTCTTTGTGGAACCTCGAGAACTCCTGAACACAAAGCCAATTGGTCTTTGTTACAAACAATTATTAGACATTCAGGGATTTTTACTGCATACTCTCTGGCATGACAGAGCCAGGTTGACTAGGACATGATAACGCTGGAGGTCGGAGGGAATGGTGGCGACAGTGTTCGGCAGGCCTCCACTCTGTCAATGCGCCCCAGGGCAGCTGTGGCTACACAGTAGCTCATCCTCACCAGCGTATGAATGTGTGTGTGAATGACTGATTATTTTGTGACGTGTCTTGGGGGGGTTGTTGAACCCTAAGAAGGCGCTATACAAATACAGGCCATAACAAGTGAGGGGTGATTTCACTCACGGGCTGTTTAACAATCTTTAATGCCTACCTGATTGAAAGCAGGTTTGTTTTCTTTTTTCACTGCAGTTAATTCTGCACTTTTAAATAAAATAGCTTTACAGTAGTCCCTCGCTACAACGCGGTTCACCCATCACGGCTTCGCTGTTGGGTGATTATTTTTTTCCATCAATAACTAAAATGCAACAATGATAATTAATGTTAAAGAAAATCCAATCAGAAAATGGAACCCTAACCAATCGGCAATCGGGAGAGGTGGGACTAGACAACAAAGAACCAATCAGAGTCTGGAGCCAGCTGCAGTTTGGACAAACTAGCAATAACCACAAGCACCGGTAACAGTCGCAAGAAATAGTCTGTGGCTGGGTAGAGACAAATTAAATGTGACCATCTGGAAAGTCTTTGCTTGGTGAGTACACATCCAGGCTCTCCTGGTTTTCAAAGTTACAGCGGTAGCAACGCTGGAGCAGAAGACCTAAACCGAAAGCAAGGAGTGTTGCATCTGGTTGTTTTATTGTTTTATGGTGCTGCAATGCCCGTAATATAATCAGCGTTTGGTGTTCTAGTGGTGTTTTTGTTAGGAAAAACATTCAGGCAGCCCATAAATCAGTTCAAAAAATCAGTTCAAGGGGCTCATTTTGTTAATTAGCTATGGGGAAACCAATAAATACACCTAAAAACGATTCTTACCTTTAGCAGAACTTTGCATGCTTTTTTTAACTGTGCATTGAGTGTTTAAACAACAGAGAAATGTGTGAAAAATGTAATGCCTGTCTGACAGAAGTGTATAGTGTGTAGTGAGGGGGTTTTACAGCCTTAAACATCTATAATAATTGTAAAAAATAAAGCTGGCTACTTCACAGATTTTGCCTATTGAGTGTTATATTTACAATGTAACCCCCGTGATAAACAAGGGACCGCTATAACTGGAAAATGTATGTTTATTAAAATGCTTTAAAAGTACCGTATTTACTGCTCTAAAAGGATAGTTTAGTGTAGGAATAACAGTCACAATCACTGATACATTCATATGAAAAACTTAAAGGATGTGCGGGATTTTTTCCTCCTTGTCTTACAAGATAGCAGATTTACTTTTCATCTGGAAGAGTGCCAGATACTCCTCCTGTCGCATTATAACTTTACTGAGTTTATGGTACAACAAACTTTGGCTAAAGGATGAACAGGTAAAGAGAATAGTGAGTGGATTTTCAGTTCACTGCAAATACCTTTGTTTGCCTTCCTTTTATCTCCTCTCATTAAAATTATTAGCCCAGTATTACGTTAAAGTTGGCATACACTCATAATTTCATTAAATCGGCTGTGGTCTCTAGTATGAATGCAGCCTGGCCTGCCAGACTGTCTATTCTACACAGAGGATGAGTCTGGATAAAGGCAGAGAGCACCACTGGGGCGGACATGACGACTGTAACACTGGTGTTTTTTAGCTATAGTTAAAGATGGCATCTGGCAACAGCGCAAACATGTTTCTTTAGATGAAAGGCTTTTAGCGCTTCTTCTTTTGTTGTTTTAAAGACATGTCCAAGTTATTTAGAACAAAGGAAAGAGCCACAGCGAACACCACTTCAGACACTATCTTTGTCCTTGCGTATGCTGATTAGCACGGATTGGCTCAGTTGGAATTTTCAGGGGATGGGGTTATTTGAATTGGAGCATGACCAGGCCCTTTGCTTCTCACAAGGAAGCATTGACATGGCTGACCAGGCTAGGACCATGTGAGGTTTTATATGGAAAACAAGCTCTGGCGCTCTTATTTCAGGAAGTAGAACTATTTGGAGGAGTCTGAGGCAGGAAACTGCAGGATTTGAAGTCTTGCTCATTAAGATTCATGAGATGCAACCATATGCAACCATCTTCCCTCTGACTGGATAAAAGCAACACTACTCTTCCGCCGCCTTCCTTTGCTCTTCTTGGAGCTTCTTGGGTAAGAAAAAATAATTTGTTGATGTGTTACCTCAAAAAATAACACAAACCTGAAAGTGTTCTGCCGTGTTGTGGAGTTGCTAATGCTAACGGTTAGCTTCTACTAGCCGAGAGGAGACACACCCTGCTGTCTCCTGGATGCTAAATCAACACAGTCCTCCACAGTTGCAAGTCAAGGTGGGTGAGTCCATGAATGCTAATTTATAGAGTGATGAAGAAGACACTAGCGTTTTGACTCAAGCATTTTCCCGTCTACATCCTTTCGGCAGCTAATGCAGGAACTGGGGTAGAAGACTATTTTCATGTTCATCCTGCATGTGAAACTCAGCGTGACCGATCTTATTTCATAAAAGCATTATAGAGTTTCTCATGGAACCTCCGCTTTAAGGATAAATATTGCGCCGTCAAAATTTCAAAAGTAAAGTTAAGAGCCACCTTGTGCAGTTTCAAAAAATCTAATGTAATCTGTTGAAGTTTGTGATGGGAATGACTTGACTACCTCACCTTTAGGTAAAGCTGACTCGGTTATAGATATGTTAATGTTTGTGATTGTTAATATACTTTGGCTGTCATCTTGCACTTGACTAACTCCAAAAGCTAACCAGTTGAAGATGAATGTCCAATCATTACTCCCGGGTGGTTCGTGAGAATGTTCGCTAACATTCCCAGGCAAAAACATCACATCTGAAATAATGCAGGAACTAATAGAAGGTGTGCATAAAAGGAAGATACCTTGTACACAAATGAGCACACAAAGTCAATGAAACCGCACTGCATCTTGGGTAGCTGTTCTGCACAGTTTCGGTCCATCATGGGCTGAGAGAGACACACACACAGGAGAGGTTTTCTTGTAAACAAGAGTTCTGTGGAACCTATAAACTAATGTGAATGTAATAAATAAAGAATACACTGGAGGAGTGGTGCTCTTACAATTGGCTGCTGGTCCAGGACATTTCTTTCCAAATCACCCTGTTCCCAGAATTCAGCTGCAACCATCAGAGCCACCTGGAACCAAAATAACACAAGAGGGATCGAATAATTGCACACGAGTGGCGAGAAAAGGAAATAAACGTATCTCAGTCCAGAAGTTGTTTTCAGCCTTTTTAAAGCGGTATTTTCATCCATAAATATGAAATTTGCTATTTTGTGAAGTGAAACAAACAAAAGAAATCACTCTTGTACATAAATTTAGTAAAGCACAGACTGAACGTATTCTAATAGGGGGAAGAGCACATTCAGGTTTAGAACTTACACAGTAAACGCTTTATTTTCTTGTAAATCTTCCACCCACTCACCTTGCTCTGTACCTCCCAAGGTTTGGTGATGGCTGACAAGTCACAGCCTGTCATCATCATGGCCCTGGAGGAGAGAAACTGTCAGTCAGTCAAAGGGGAAGACGCCACACTGCTCACGATGCTAATGAGTTAAGGTCCTGCTTTGTGAGAAATCTTCCCACAAGGAAACTGGAAAGACTTTATTTTACTAAACAGTTGATAATCTGTCTAATTCAGCTACGTACATGATGATCTCCTTCCTGATGGGGTTGTTGGAAATGTAAGCTGTGGCCTCCTTTTCATCTGTCATCGGCTCTGTGGCATTAACAATATTCTGGAACATCGTTCTCTTTCTGCATGTGGATAAACAGAGGACATAAAAAATTTGTCTAAACCAGTGGAAAATCTTGACTGAATCCACAAAAGCTAAAAGCAGTCAACAAATTCACGAAAGACTGTAGTTATTTTGTTTTATTACCTGTTTCTTTAGTTATTCCTCAATTAAACGTCAAATGCTTTATATAATTTACATTTTTTTTTTTCAGAAAACATTATTCTGGGCTGCCACCTTCTCGTGGTGGAGGGGTTTGAGTGTCCAAATGATCCTAGGAGCTAAGTTGTCTGAGACTTTATGCCTCTGGTAGGGTGACCCATGGCGAACAGGTCCTAGGTGAGGGATCAAACAAAGTGCAGCCCATAGACCCCCTATGAAGCAAAATATAAAAGGAAACGGTGTTTCCTTGCCCTTGCCCAGACGAGGGTCACCAGGGCCCCCCTCTGGAGCCAGGAGAGTACTCCTTCCGGTGACTCCCTCGTTCTGCTGGATGACTTCAATGCTCACTTGAGTAACGACAGTGAGACCTGAAGAGGTGTATGGGAGGAGTAGCCCTCCGATTTAAATTCGAGCAGTGTTTTGTTATTGGAATTCTGTGCTCATCATGGATTGTCCATAATGAACACCATGTTCAAGCATAAAGGTGTCCATATGTGCTCTTAGCACAAGGATCCCTTAGACTGCAGCTCGACGATCGACTTTGCTGTTGTGTCATCTGATCTGCAGCCGCATGTCTTGGATACTCAGGTGAAGAGAGGGGCGGAGCTGTCAACTGACCACTACCTGGTGGTGAGTTGGGTTTGATGGTGGGGGAGGATGCCTGTCAGACCTGGCAGGCCTAAACAAATTGTGAGGGTCTGCTGGGAACGCTTGAGGGATTCTCCACTATGGTCCACCATCCAGCGCCTCGGGAGGGGAAAACTAGCAGTGCGCTACCAACACTGTTAATGTGGGAATGATGTGCTGCTGACCTCTACTCGGGAGCCTCTATTGGTGCACGTGGTCCTGCAAAATCACGTAGAAATCCGAGGCAATTCCACTGGATTTAAAAATGGGGACCACAGGGTATGTTCCAACTACATGGGGAACACACTCCTGAGCCTCCGTAGTAAAGTCTGTTTAGGGTTTCTGGAGAGACTGGTCCATTGGATTGTCGAAACTTGGATCCAGGAGGAGCAATGTTGTCATCATCCTGGCTGTGGAACACCTAGTCAGCCCTATACCCTTAAGCCATTTTTTCCAAAAGCACTGCTCAGCCAAAAACAGTTCATCGAAGTGCAGCTGGTGGTTTTCCCTGCCGTGAGTTTTACTCCTCACTAAAATAACATAAAGCGATTAGTAAACAGTATGAGGTAACCTGTAAGCATTGTACCAGTCTCTCCTGAAATGAAAGGCGAAGCTCTCAATTAACCGGTCAGTCTACATTCCTACCCTCATCTATGTTCACGAGCTTTGGGTAGTGACCAAAAGAATGAGATACAAGCGGCTGTAATGAGTTTTCTCCGCAGGGTGTCTGGGCTCTCCGTTAGAAATATGGTGATAAGCTTGGTCATCCGGGAGGGGCTTGGAGTAGATCAGCTGCCCCTCCACATCAAGATGAGCCAGTTGAGGTGGCTCGGGTGTACACTGTGCAATTTTTTTATTGTTTTTAGCTGATTTTCCTGTCATTGAGAATCTTTGAGGTTGGGGTGAGTTTAGCGCCATGTGTTGTGTAGTATACACGAGGTAACGAGAGGTTTTTAACACCTCACAACCAGCTCTTGATCAGCAATCGGACGGTTGCATGAATATCAAACATGTTAGATATTTTGCTCATCTCTTGTGAGGTTATCGAACTGTTGAAGTAGTGCTGCGACCCAAAAGTACCAGAACTGCTCACACAGCACATGCACCAACCTGGCTCCACAGGGATTTCTGTGTCAACACGTTTTCTTTTATTTTTTCACTTTACTCAACACACAATGATAAGGATTGTCCAGAAAGCGAGTTTTCTGTGTTTATGTTAAATAAAATGGATCCCAAGACGTTTTTTGCTTTCTTTGTTTCGTTTTCCTTCTCCAATCCCCACAGAACCCATGCATGTCCTTCTACGGCAAGCTTGAAGGACAAATGACATAACAGCACAACTGTCTCCAGGTCTTCCAGGTCTTCGGACTCAAAGGTCTAACATGTTGTGTTAAAACTACTAATCTTAAAACATATCCAGGACCGGCGTGTTGCTATCAGATGTACAGTGTGAGCAGTCTGGTTGCATTTGAGAAGTGGGTCATACAGTGTGAGAACATGACTCGTGAGCTTTGCTCTGCGTGGAAGTCATACAGTTTCAGATGGAGCTGTATGCTATGAGTGAGAAAGACACACAGTGTACGCCCGGTTTTCGAACGCCTCATGGACGCCACTCTGATGAGGTTTTCTGGGCACATCTAACTGGGAGGAGGCTCAAGGGAAGGCCCTTGGACATGCTGGAGGGACTATAGGTGCGCTTCCATTGTCTGAACTTCAGGGTAAATTTACAGGAACGTCCATGCATTTGCATGTCTCCATTTGTCCTGGCAGGCCAAATAACCATTTTCTGGGTTATTTTCAGGAACTTTCAGAGTACCTGATCAGGAGTAGGTACTCAAAATGGCCTGGTGGAGTTGCTGAGCTGAACTTTTGTTTAACTCATGCAGATATTGTCCAAAACAACCAGTATCAGTACATTTAGAAGTGTTGCTTTTGAAGCAGAAGGGAAGAAAAAGAAAATAAGCACAGATTGCGCAGCACTCAACACCGGAAAACATGGCGGGATTCCCCCACTACAATGTAATTCACAGGGCTTGTTGTCTAACAGAGTGCTGTAATAAATGGAGCTTTTTCTGGCCATTGAACGCCACATTACATCACACAGATGCTCTCCTGCTCCAAATTGATTAAATTATGATATTCTCTAACAGAATAAAACTTTTGATATTATTAATGTTACTGTGGATGCTTTTTGGCGCCAATCAGTGACATCGCTTCCTGCTGAAGCAGTTGCGAAATGCTGATGTCTGTGCAAAGTCGTCAATGGGCTGAATTTGAAGGGCGACACAACAGCTGAGAGGACCGAGCCATCGTATCTCTCAGTTAGTTTCCCCTTCCTAGAATTCACCCTGAAGTCTCAACAATGTAAAACACGCCTTATGTCTCTCAGCTGGCCAGGGAACGCCTTGTGATTCCCCCAGAGGAGCTGGCCCAATGGCTGGGGGGAGGGGGGGGGGAGTCTGGGCCTCTCTGCTTAGACTAATGCCCACATGACCCGACCCCAGATAAGCGGACAAAAATGGATGAATGGATGAAAAATAATAATCAATGTAAAACTTTAAGCATTAGAAAATCCTTCTGAAGAAAACCTACTTGAAGTAAAGCGCCAAATCGGTGGCAATGATGCAAACGTCAAACAGATGTTGCACAGTCTCAAACTGTCGCTTCTGGAGGTTGCAGAAGATGTTCAAGCTCTGCACGAGACAACAAATCACAGGTCAGGTTGAGAAATTTGTAAATGTTTTTGTCTGATATTGTTTTTTTTTATAGTTGAGTAAGCTCCACCTCCTCTCCCATGAGCGTCTTGCTGTATTCCAAATGGTGCCTCTCCATGATGGAAGAACCATGAAGTTTAGCCAGAGGAGATGCACTCCTGCAGATTATAACGATACACGATGTAGATAAGTAAACCCATTTCCTGCCATGATTAGATGAAGTATTTTGACTTGCTTTGTCTGGTAGAGGTTGTTGGTTCCTCTGTGGTCGATATCATGGCAGAAAGCTGCAGCCACCATGGCGAAGGCATCAAGGTCAGAGTAGTACTTCCTCAGCTTCCCTGTCTACAAGGCAGGGAATGATGAATTAGTATGACAGATGCAGGTACCGCGTTAGTCTGTGATGAAGGGGCTACTACCTGCAGTAGGCAGAACATGGTGTGGCCTACGTTGAAACCATGCCTCCAGTTATGGTAGGTGATGGCACGGTAACCCTTCCTCACAGTGTACATCCACCTGGTCAGTGTCTGCAAGAGAAAAGGGAGATAATTCAAAGAAACACAAATTAATTCACTCTTCTGAACTGCTTTCCCTCAGCAGAGTTGCAGAGGGCTGGCATCTATTTTCAGCAATCATCAAGGGAGAAGTGGGGACACCCTGGTCAGGTCTTCAGTCCATCACGTGGACACAAACAACCACACATTCATTCAAACTTTGGGACAGTTTAGGGTTTCCGATTAAACTGACATGCATGTCTTTGGTGTATGGGAGGAAACCCACATCCATAGGGAGAATTTGCTAACGCCACACTGAGGGGCTGCAGCCGGGATTCAAACCTGTGACTTTCTTGCTATAAGGCAACGGTGTTGCTAACTGTGCCACAATGCAGCCTTCTGGAGAAACGATGAGGATAGAAATGACATCATTTCAGAGCTTAAGGAAACTGCCCGTTTTTATGGAACACTGAAAAAGAACTGTCTTTGTTTCAAAAGTAAAACGACCTAAATTTTCTGCATCTGCAGTCAGCTTTTCTTTCAGTTTAAATTCACACATTATATGAAAAAAAAGAGTTACTGGCTCTTTCAGCTGATAGAGACTCTTTGTTCCAAAGTTCAACCTAAAGCCAGCAAAGAAAAACAGTCACAGGAGCACAACTGTTCTCCAATAAACAAACAAAACCCCAAAAGATCTCAGATGAAAGGAGCTGAAGAATAATGAACCCAATTCACACATTCATATCCCAGTGCATGGTAGGAATCCCCCCACCCCCACCAAAGGCACCTTTAAGCACCTTGTTAGAGATGCTCCTCTGAAACAACTGACAGGCGACCGTGACTCACCTCTGCGGGAACTTTAAACTTTTCAACAACTCCAAGCTCAAAGAATATGCGGATGCCGGCTTTAATGAGGCCAAACTCCGTAACGGGGAAGTCACTGAAGCCGAACGAGTACAGATTCTCTCCGTCCACGTTGTCTGCTGCTGGGCAGTTTGCTCTCTGAACAAAAATGAGCAAAAGGCCATTGGTGACTCAGTCCTCACTTAAAGAACACAGATGATTACAAGAAGAGTTTTTTTTTCTATTTTGTTATTAAAAAAAACATTTTTCCAGTATTTTGTGAGGATGCGTACCAACAGTTTGTACATCTCTTTCTGGTCACAGTCTTCAGGTTCGGCATCAAACTTCTCCTTTGTGTTCTGGTATTAAATCAGAAAAGAATAATTTTATTCCATTAATAATTAACACATCTTCAAACTTGAGGCAAGAGTGTCATATTTTTTAAATTGGTTGCCAAGTCGGATGCAGCATGCAATCAACTAGCCTGGCCTGCCAGACTCCTCCTCTGTTTAATTCTGCACAGAGGAAGGGTCTGGGAACTCTCCTACTCAAACAACCCCATCCCCTGAGAATTCTAACCGAGCCAATCAGCGCTGAGTAGCGTACGTCACACCACAATGCCGAGTTTGTCATAAACATGGCGACTGAAGCGAAGTTCTTTGCAGCTCATTTCTTTGTTCTAAATGACTTTAAAACAAGTAGAAGTGCTAAAAGCATTTCTTCTAAAGAAGGATGTTTGCGCTGTTACCAGACGCCATTTTGGACTACAGCAAAAAATAAATAAATAAAAAATCTACAGCGTTGTGCTGTACAGTCGGCATTTCTGTCTTTTTTCTGATTGGTTATTTTTGAGCTGCCTAGTCCCGCCCCTCATGTGCCGCTCTGCCTGTGAGTTACCAGACTCTTTCTCTGTGCAGAATTAAACAGAGGACGAGTCTGGCAGGCTGCGCAGTGGCACAGTGGTTAGAGCTGTTGCCTTGTAGCAAGAAGGTCCTGGGTTCGCTTCCCAGCCTGGGATCTTTCTGCATGGAGTTTGCATGTTCTCCCTGTGCATGCATGGGTTCTCTCCGGGTACTCCGGCTTCCTCCCACAGTTCTAAAACATGACTGTTAGGTTAATTGGTCTGTCTAAATTGTCCTTAGGTGTGAGTGTGTGTGTGCATGATTGTTTGTCCTGTATGTCTCTGTGTTGCCCTGCGATGGACCCTGCCTGATTGCCCATTGTCCACTGGAGATGGGCACCAGCAACCCCCCCGCGACCCTACATGGACAAGCGGGTTCAGAAAATGGATGGATGAATGGATGGAGTCTGGCAGGCCAGGCTAGAAATTAACACCACTCACAAAGGATTGCTAAATATGACAGCTTTAGTTAAAATAAAGAAAAACAGAGAATGTGCTGATGAGGACAAATCCCACATTCCAACTGACCAGAATGGATTGCATTTCATCCGGGGTGCATTTGGTCTGGCACATGAGCATCTCCTGGGCAATCTCTTTCCTCCACTCCATTCGGTTCAGCCTGTCATAAGTATCACAGTTCAGCCATGACCAGCCCAGGAACTGTGTCAGAGCCTGGTGCAGACAAGGAGAGGTCAAAGGAGTGAGAGAAAGACACACGTCAGACAAGAAAAAGTGTTGAAATAAAAAGAAGGATCAGTATGCCTTGAAGAAAAGCACACTGCCCTTGTAAAATATTTTAACTAAGATAATCTCATGCTGAGAAATGATGGAGTTGCATTTTTAAAATCTTACAAACAGGGATGTGTGCATCACACTTCATGTCAAAAGCTGTAACAACCATTGTCTCAAAGCTGTTTTCATGATGGGTAATAATATTATATCAGGTTGGCAGAACAAGTTAACCTGCTGTCGATTTTTAATTTAATGCATCTAGTTTATGAGCTTAAACATCATCCACCATTTGTCTCTCAGCGTGCAACCACACTGTTTCCCAACAAACACAATCCTAACCTCCGTGATCTGTTCATCATATTCATCGAATGGTTTCCCGTCTTTCCTGTTGAAGAAAGTGGCGATGCCCACAATCTCTTCTTTCTTGTTGACGATGGGCAGTGACAGAACATTTTTGATGACGAAACCAGTCTCATCCACAGGCTCTTTCTGTTAAAGCACAACAACATGCCTAAAACGAAGACTCAATCTTTTCTTTAAGAAATCAGTGTCATCAAAAGAGCTGAATACCTGGAAAGTGAAGTAGTCGTCTGCAGCAACGTTCATCATGTTGCAGATCTGCAGGCAGTCACATAAATAATTGCAGTATAATATTGTTAAAAAAGGGTTGATGTTACGGTCACTATTCGATTTATATGGAGAAAAACTACCAGGATTCACTCTGGTAACTACATTTATAACATCTTATTTAAATTCTAGAAATTCAAACCATAAGGGCCACTTACAAAACCATTTTCTGCAACATAAGTTGGCAATCCGCTAACCAGAGCCCAGTGATCTGCAGGAGGAGCCCTGAAGAAGCAGGAAAGAAACAAAAATAACAGCTAGTTTGAAAGTTAATCTGTCATTGTTAAATAACTTGGACTTTAAAATAAAAAATAAACTAATGTGTAAATGTAAAGAATCATTTGATGCAACTTTTTTACATCAATTCTTTTTTATAGTGTATTTTCAAATGTATCTTTTCCATTAGGTGCATTTTAATAGAAAATTGCTCACGGTATGACTTTGATTTCCTCTTTGCCTTCTAGCAGGTAGTCAATGATCTTGTAAAAGTTGACTTCCTGTTAACAAAGTAAAAGCCTGTTAGAAAAAAAGGATCCTTTGTAGCTATGTTTGACAGGTGTGTAAAAGAATGATTTGAAAAAGCAATAATGGATGTGTCACCCTGCCGTCTGGTGTTTTTGGTCCTTTATAAGGTTCCACGTCTCCAAGTTTCACAGGCCACTCGTCATAAAATTCCTGCAGGAGGACACGCATTTACGTTTTCTTTGCTAGCAGACATTTGTGGAACTTATCCTCCAGAAAAGTGGATTTTAAGAAAACCAACCTTTTCTTTGGTCAGGTCCAGCAGCCCCACTGAGTAACGCTCACATACCAGGTAGGTCCTCACAGTGTAGAGCGCTTTGTGGAACTGTCGCTCGATGTCCGTTAACTCCTCAAACACTTTACTGGCAGACCAGAGCAGCACCTGAGGTCAGAAACAATCCCTCATGTATTTCCAGTGAAATAGCCTAATTCTACTCAGGGGGGCTTTGTGAAAATCCTCTTTTCAGGTCACCTGGCTCCTCCTGGACTCCACGTTGAACATGTAGGCTGTGTGATTCTGCAGGGCGATGACTTGGGCAAAAGTCATGTATTTATGGAAGAGCTATGGACCAAAACAAGTCACAACACAGTGAAACACAAATATGGTGAAGATACAACAAAATGTTACTCTGCTGCTTAAGTATGAGCAGATTTAGATGGGAAAACATTTTCAAAAATCCTTAAGATTATCTTTCTTTTTGTGCAGATTTCATCTTATTGTTCACTGATCTACAGAAAGTTTTTGGGTGCAAGAGAAACTGAAAAGCTGTGTTTTCCTAAATTCTTGGATTTTTATTTATTTTTTTTTTTTACAAAACTATAATGATCAAATGATATCATAATCTTAAGTCAACACCAGCCCTCTCCTCAGATGTGTCAGAAGCAGAAGTCTGTAGAAACATCATTTCCATCTGACCCAGTCTATTCTAGATGGAATTGGGCCTCGGTGTGATTGTTGTGGCTCCAGAGGCAGTTCTGAATGTGTTCTGATAGAAGCTGCTAAGAGAACTCAGTTCTATTTAGTTTGTTTTTTCTATTTTAAAGGTTGAATGCTAAAAAGCCACCAAACCACCAAGCCAGTCGAGTCTGATTGGCTTCTTCTGCTGTAATGACAGGGCTTTGTGCTCTACTGGTGGGATGCAATCACTGAAATAATCTGTATTCAGGCCGAGCTGAGAGTTCTTTTCCACCATGGATGAATGTTGCAGGATAAGGTGAGGTTTTAAACAGTTTCAGGTTTCTGGGTATCTGCTCGTTTGACTTCTTTAAGCCAAACGGACGAGCTAGAGTCGACTCTTACCTTCTCATCCTGTGCAGAGAAGGAATCTGCTCCTATTTTGTTAAGCGCCATGACAACTCCGAGACAATCTTTGTCAGCAACAACAGGGAAAGTCATCAAGCACTTGGTTTTGTATCCAGTCTGTTTGTCCACAAAGTCACAGAACTTTGAGTTCTGGATGGAGCAAAAGGGAGGAGAAATTGGAAATTGGAATTAGAATTTTCCAAATACAAAAATGACATCCTGACCAACGTTTATGCCTTTATTCGCCTGCTAAACCTGATCCCATGTTTGGGGGCAAAGTTAAATCAGTAATTGAGTTGGATCAATAATTAGAATCAGTAGTAGTCTAGAGGTATTTACAGATACAAGACAAACAATGTGATGTTAAGCAAACCTTTACAAAGACATAGGAAATTGTTTTATTCTAAAATATATTTCCATTTAAATAAGAGCCAAAGTGTGAAAATAGAAAAATCTACCATTGCTTTAGCTCAACTAAATTTACTTTCAAAGCCAGTCACAGGAATCCCGTTACATAAGCTAGGCTACAAATAAATAGTCAGGCCCAAAATACACAGTATTTACCAGATCTGCTGTAAATAAACATGGCTTTGCTAAAACCTGCTTAGCTTTTTCATAAACAAGGAACATTTTAGACTATATGACAGAGTTCAGCTGGAACAGCCATGGTTTTTGTTCAGCTGTGTATGGAAGCTCGTTTGCACCATTTAAAAGGACAAAAATGTAAAACTGTCACATTTTTGGGCTCTGAAAGTCATAAAGAAAAGTTATAATTTGGACCTTTATAGATACTCATGGAGATAAAAAGTCACAAGTAAAACATTAATAGATTCAAAGTAATTTTCATTGAAAATTTCAAAGTAATAATTTTGATATTTCTAGACATAACTATAAAAGAAAAGTCCTAAAGATAACAATTACAAATCTTCAGTCATATTTCTGACATATTTGACTTTACGTCAATCTGAAAAAGGTTTTAAACTCTGTAACCTCTCACCTTTGTCACGTCTGGAACATTCTGTGGCTTTTTGGAGGTGACTGTGTGACCGACCACACCCATGTCGGTGGGGAAAACAATTTCACTCTGTGGGTTTACCAAGTTGGTCTCATATTTGGACGTCGGGGTCACGTCAAAGAGGCAGGTGGCGAGCTCAGGGACTCCGTTTCTGGAGCGGCACATGAAATAGCTGACCCTGTCAGCCTGTAAAATCAGTGCAAGCCTCTGCAACACCTTGTGAAGGCTTTTTTCCATGTTCCCTGAGTTCTGCAGCTCCTGGACCAGCTCAAAGATGATTGCAGCCTCTTGCACTGAGTTAACATCCTTGAACGAAGCGGTGTCTTTGATATCAAGCTGTCCAGCGAAGGCGGCGGACAGAGCTTCCGCACGCAATTTCTTATCAAAGTACTCTTTGGCGAATTGTGGGTTGTTCTCCAAATATTTCTCCACGCTATCCTTGTCTGCCATTTTGATGTGGAAAATAAAGTGTCCTCTTATTTGTGTCTTCGTTCCACTAAAGCATCACTTGCTGGAAAAAGAGGTAAAAACTAAAGATGAAGTTAGATGTTCTTTCCTTCGAAGTGGGATGAATATGTTAGCGTCCCTTTGAATGGACATGCATCCTCCTCCGTGGACACATCCCGTGTCCACCGACAGACAGGACTGTGCAGAATGCGGCTTAGAGGCTGAAAGGATCAAAGCGGCTGCTAATTACCCTGACGTCAGGACATTAAAACCCCTTCTTAAAGCGTCCTTAACCTGCAAATCCCAACGCTGATCATTTCACATGGGGCAATCCTGGCCAGCTGATGGAGAATGAGATGTTGGCAGGTTGGATTCCTGTTTGGACACCTGAGACACATCCAGCCAGGATGTAATCAACACTTTATTGACATGATGGGCAGAGGGTCAAAAAGAGGAAATGGCACAGATTCATGTCCTACCAGCAGCTTCTTCTTCAGAAAGTTTATATGCAAACTCACTTTTAAAGGTCACTAAATATAAAGACAACTATATCAGGAAACACAGCTGGGCTGCAAGTATGGTCCAGTTGTAGTTTTGGTGGTTTTGGGTTAATTTTGAGCCTTTTTGTAGAGGATTTTACATTGTGTTGTAATCACTCACTAAGCCATACTTACACATGGTACTCCTGTTTAAGTCTTTGTTAACACAGATATCTAATGAGCCAATCACATGACAGCAACTCAGTGCATTCAGACATCTACATGGTGAAGGTGACCTGCTGAATTTCAGACTGAGCCTCAGAATAAAAAAGAATGGGGGTGTAAGAGGTCTGGGACATTTCAGAAACTGCTGATCCACTCAGATTTTTGCTCAACCCCCCCCAAAAAAAGAGTTTAGAGAACCTTTTTTTGAAAAAGCGAAGGTTTGTTGAAATCAGACATCAGAGGAAAATGGAAAGAAGGGTTGGAGATGACGACCTCTGTCAGAGCAGGAAACTGGCTAAAATTCACACAGGATCACCAGAACTGGAACATGAGAGACTGGAAACACCTTTTCTGGTCTGATGAGCCTGGATTTCAGATGGTTGGGTCAGAATCTGGTGTCAGCAACATAAAAGCATGGATCCATCAGCCTTGTGCCAATGGTTAAGGCTGTCTCTGGTGGTGTATTGGGGTGGGGAGGTTTCTTTGTCCACCTTGGACCTGGTAGTATGACCTGAGCCCGGTTTAAAGGGAACTATGCAGTTTTGGCTTGCTTTTAGCACCCCCTAGTGTCTGTTTGTAGAACCGAAAGCAAAACCTCCATGTTGTGCGTTTATCTTATTAACACCTTAATCTAACAGCTGAAATGTCTCCCCAGCCTTCATTAGTGTCTACAGGAGTGATTCATCATTCAATTAAACATGTCAGCTGTGTTCATGATCTAAAACATGCAGGAAACATGCTGGAAGCGTATGTCAGCTCAATTTCTTCTAAGTCCCAACTGAGCAGCCCGCCAGTCTGAGGTTGCAAGTAGAATATGGCCACAGGGGGCAATAGGGGTTGGATGGCATTTCATTAATCCTGTAAAGGGTCATTTTAGCATTTACTGGATCAAGAAAATGATTTAAAAATATAAAAAAGTTGCAACGTGTCCCTTTAAACATTGCAGCCTACCTGAATATTTATGCTGACCATGTCCATCCCTTTATGACCACATGGGCCCATCTTCTGATGCTACTTCCAGTAGGTTAATGCTTCATATCACAAAGCCCATATCATCTCTAGCTGGTTTCTAGAACATGCCTATGAGTCCACAGGAACCAAATCTCAGTCCAGAACCTTTTGGATATTCGGGAGATTCACGTCATGGATGTAACCGTGAGATGATGTAATGTTGATACAGAACCTCTGATGAATGGAAAACACTTTGTTTAATCTATGATCAGAAGAATTAAGACATTTCTGAAGGAAGAAAGGGGATCTAGTCGGTCTGTAGTGAAGTAGTCAGTGCTTGTTCATCGTTAGTTTCTCTGGGAAGTTCTGCTTTGTTTTAGGATCTTTTTATTTATTACATTCAACAGGATCTTCTTCCTTTCATAATGTGTAGAAGTACTCAAGCACTGGGTCACAGACTGGTGCTGATTTATGAATAATTCAGGTCATACTGGCCCGCACAGAAGCTAACAAATGTTTTGGAAAATAAAAGCATTTTATTTTGAAACAATTACATTTTATATGTTGAAATATGAGTACCTCAGATCGTCCCATTGGTCTGCGTAAAGGACCAATCCTTGTTGGTGCTCATTTAATTAGTGCCTCTGGACACGTCTGTGAACAGAAAACTTCAAATTGTGCAGCACGGCGGGTGTGTAGCTCAGACAACCCGATGGCATTGTGTGTGGACAACCCTTGGTAGGCACTTTTACAAATGGGTTCTGAAAACTTAGTTAATGATTGCATGATGTTAGAACACCAACGAAAACAATGAGGTATTTCCATTATAAATGGTCCATAATGACACACTAAAAGATAACAAATAAACAAACAATGCAAAAATAAATAAATAAATACAGGCTTTGTAATACCATGCACCATAACCAGCAGCCCCATCACCCCTCCCTTTGTTTAAACAATTTGAGCAATCAAGAAAGGAGCTTTCCTCGTCTGAAATAACCTCCCCGAGAGCCAAGTCTGCATAAGCTCATCTTCTGGTTTTTGCTACAGGGAAGTAAGTACCTAAATAGTGTCCTGTCGGCAGCAATGACCACATGTGGGGCGTGTAATGGCAGCCCATATAATGCCCTCAATGGGAAAGCTAATGAAATCATCATGGAGGTATCAGTCTGAGGACTGTAAAGCAGCCAATTTGTGGGGGTGTCTGAGAGCAGGCTTCCTAAACGAAGATGGCTGGCCACCACTAGCGTAGCAAACAGCAAAGTTAGCTGATAGTTTGGCAGGACAAGAAATTCTTTATTAGATTTAGCTGTGAGGATTACCGCAATCTAATCACAGCGTAATTATAAAAGGTGTGTGTGTGTGTGTGTGTGTCTGCGTGTGTTGTGGAAATGAGCTAAGGAAGCTTGTTTCAGAATGAAAGAAGCTGGCTGCTGAAGGAGGAAGAGCATACACTCCAGTCGTCAATCCAGCTGCTCTGTAATTAAAACAGTTTTTACTGATACATTTTAGATTTTAAGATTAAATCTTAAAACTACATTTTATGATTGTTTTACAATTGTTTGAACATTTTTTGTTGTCGTTTATTTGCTGAAAAACTTGAGATGCACGCTTAATACTCAATTAATGCAAGAAATTACGTATTTGCAACCAAATATTTGGTTTTAGTCATTTTAAAAATCCAGGCTTCAGAGATTAAAATTACATAATGAGCTTTAATGTTTTTAGACAAAATTCTTTATATTTAATACAACCAAGATCAATCAGATCTTGAATTATCAACTTTTTTATACAATGCCACTGATTTGCAAATGTAGAAAGTGGTTACAGAGACTTTATTCCTAAATATCTGTGTGTTTTACTTTTGACCTGACGGTGTGGTTGGATGTGAGCAGCAACAATAAAAATTCTACTTTTACAACCTTTATGCATATTCTGGAGAAATGCATATTTTTTTATTTTAAGTCCATTATTATACAGAAATAAGAGACAGTCTCCTGTTATTTGCAACACCTCAGTTTGAGACCTCAAAAATATATGAAAGCACATTTTAAAACAATGCACTGTTAAATAATATTTTGCCCTTTTGTTATTAATATATAACTTTATTTGTTTTTCAGTCAGTTTGACAAACTATAGGTGAAGTTGTTGGGATTAGGTAATTTTTAGAAATAACTTACGTGAAACTTCATGCCTAATTAAGTTTCTAAATCATAAGAAATTAATTTGTAAAATGAACCTTTTTCTTAAGAAAAACTAATGCCATCAAGCTATTTTACATTCCAATGAACATTTAAGTGAAACTATTGGTATTTTAGATCATTTAAATAATACATTACAATAAATGAACAGGTGCATAAACTAACATAAACTGTCTGGAGTTTTAAAGCTAAATTGAAGCAATATTACAAATCTAGTTAATTTTATACTTTTTTGTATCCTTTTAGTTTTATTGTTATTTTTCTAGAAATAGTAAATGGCCTGTATTGATATAGCACCTTTAAGAGTCCTGGGTTTATATTTAATGGAGCTGTTGGTAAAAGGTTTATAGAACTTATTATTTTATGAAGTGGAAATAAATATCAAACAATTACCTAAATGTCTCAATTAGAAGAATACACAAGTATATACAAGAACATTCAAAACAATATAACCAGTTAAAGTTGCTAGAACAATATTTCCCTCAACTCAGAAGCTCTTTCACAGTTTTCAAGTTAAAACAACCTGTTGATTTTTACAGTGAATCTGATATGATTCATGTGTAGATTTCAAGATCAAAACAAAATTCCATGTATCCAAAGAACATTAAATTAGATGGGTGTTATGGGCACCAGCCTGGCCATTTGGATGCAGGAGCCGGGATCACCCGGCCCCGGTGATCAGCCCAACACCGCCCCTCCTCCTCCTCTCCTCCAGGCTGCTGAGGAGCGCAGCTGACCTGAATCCCTCTGACGACCCACATCTGGATAAAAAGGCTGTGCCTTCAGCAGTCTGGGAAGCAGCAGAGCAGGGTTTCTGCTGTCCTCCAGGCCTCAGTTTGTTTTCAACTCCTTTGAATTGATGAGTTTTAACTTTCAGAGTTTTAACTCTGAGTTGATGAGTTTTAAAGGGTGAAACTCTGAATGACCCATAGGGATCTTTGGTTTATGTCAATTTAGTTGACTGAGTTTTAAGGCTAACTCTGTTTTGGGTTAAGACTTTTATCATTGTTGTTGTGTTTCAAAACACCATCAGTTTCGGTAAAACTTTTAATACAAGTTTTAACCAGGTGTTTCTAATGTTTTTTTTGTTTGGCATTATTTTAATAATGCTTACCATCTGTTTGCATGCTTGTTCTTAAACCTTTGGACAATTAAACCCATTTTTAAAGCCACTGTCATGTTTCTTATGTTACCCCCTTCTTCACATTCTAACAGTTTTTCAGAAATCCGTAAAAGTGATTATCTTATCATGTACTGTGATATAATGCAAGCAATCCTAAGCACGCCTCCTGCCCCGCAGAGCTCCATGCAATAGGAAACTGAGCTCTGACCAGAACTAACCAATAGCGTGAGACTGCCGCTTACATGCTTCAAATTTAAGGAATCCCTCGGCTGATGCAGAGTTGATGAACCTTTCACGGACAAGAAAGTCTCTGAAATATAAATATATGAGAACACAGCATGACATGAGAATAATACTTGCAAAACTGTGTGTTTTAGCTCCGTTTGTCAGCTACAGAAGAACATTTATAAACAAGCAACGTGAAGTCGCCATCCTAAAAAAAACGGAGCGACAGACTTTTGTGTGATATGCTTGTCAGCCACTAGATGGTGCCATCGGATAAGAGAAATACTGCAGAAAGAGACTTTGAGTGAACTTGTTTAAATCCTTTGAAATGGTTTGTATTGTAAATGTGACTAGAGCTTATTTAACTGAACAGAAACTTGTTAACAGAAACTGCTTTTGTTAACATAAGTGATTGCCCACACTGAAATGTGTTTGTGTAATGAATAGTGTTTGCTGCAATAGTGAAATGGCTCAAATCTACAAAATTCCACAGCAATTCATGCAACTTTATTTCATTTTTAAAACCCTTACACCAGGCATGCTGGTGCTGTCTTTCTGCATGGGGGTAGCATGTTCTCCTTGTGCATGCATGGGGTTCTTCGGGTACTCCAGTACAGACCAAACACATGCATGTTAGGCTGACTGTAGACCAGTTGTTCCCAGCTGTGTATCTCTGTGATGGACTGGAGACCTGTCCCCACCCTCTCTGAATTAAGCACCAGTTCCCTGAGACCCTACTGAGGGAAAGCGTTTCTGATAGTGAGTGAGTGGTTGTTCAAAAGGAATTCTTTAGCAAAATGTTGCAGTCCCTGTGTATCCAATAGAGTAGAAAATTCTTTAAAATAGAATATTCTACAGTAGCTAAAACTAGATGCATTGTGGGATGTAGCCCTAGATGAGCAAGTATATATTTTGCATTGGTGCTTGTGGGTCTGAGTTGCTCAGCTCGACTCAAAGTTGTATTTTTGTCTTTTCAAACAGGAAGGAACCAATGTTGGAAGAGGTGCTAATTGAACTCTAGTTACCCAGACTGGATGTCAGAGGGCACATGTTTTGTTCTTTCTCCAGGGCCGAGTAAGGTCTGTGACAACATGAAACAGCTGGAAAGGAAACGGGTCAAGCTGAAGACAGACAAAGCAAAGCGGTGACAGTTTACTGTATGTGGAAAAGTGGATTTTCACAGTGTGGAGCAGATCAAGAGGTGCACTTATATTTACATTTTACCAGCGGGAACGGTTCCATGTCTGAGAACAATGAGCTGATAGTAGCAGCACTCTCAGATGGGGAGTTATCCAGGAGGCAGCGGTGTAAAGGAAGGCGTGCAGCTCGGCCTATCAGCATCCAAAAGGCTTTTGACCAGACGTGGGCGGTATGTAAAACGTGGTGACACAAATAATAACCTACGGTTAAAATAGAGAAAATGTTACTTGAGCATTGTGAGTAATGAGTAACAGTTTGAGCATAAACGTGACTTCTGTTGGGTTGTTTTTTATTGACGTCCAGGCGCTTTGGCTGTGTTTTTTCTATTGGTAAATGTGTTTGTCTAGCAGTAGCACCCAGCAGCACTTGTGCCGTGACGCCAACTCAGCTGTTTAGCTGAAATAACCCAATAATATGATTACACATGAACCACTAGTACATTTACGTTCACTCTGCTCTTGGCTGCATTCAGACTAGCCGTTAGCTCATCAGTCCTGAAGGATTTCGATCATCCTCTCTGAACAGAGGCTCTTCTCAAAGCTATCAACAACTGCTAAAATAGTTTTTGTTCAACACAAAGAAGCCCTTTCTTAAATGACCAAATTGACATGTATTTGGACAAAAGCAGTAGATGTAATTGTTCAACTTGGTGTCTTTGCCTCTTGCAATGATTAAAAGTTCACTTGGTTCAGCTGTGCATTTAGCTATGAGGTGTTTTACTTAATCCCAAGTTAGGAGGTGTTTCAGCTACACAAGTCTCACACCCCGTTAAAAACAAGAAACTTACTTGCTGCCAATAAACTGCTGGGATTGTTAAATGCATGCAGAAACCTCGCAGTGAGATTGTGAAATGTCGAGCCGCCTCTGGCTGGGTTCCAGCTCCTAATATTTATGTTCAAAAGTGATAGTGCTGGGGGTTTCATCTTTTCTGGCCAGGGATTTTGGTTATGCAAGCTACAGATGTTTGGCTCCGCTGTGCTCCTTTAGGCCTGGGAGGTGTGGTTATTTGATCGTAGTGCAAAATAACAGCATTGATTCATAACAACTCTGCCACGAATGATTTAAGTCAGATGGAAAACAGGCCTGAACTGAAACGGAAAGGGGAGAAGGCAATTCTCCTATGTTTTAAACAGCAACACTAAAACACACCAAACTGGAGCTCAAAACAAACCGGACTGCTGCAAACTGACCCTAGGTAAGGGAAAGTGATTCGTCTGAGGTTATTTGAGATTACATCAAAAGGAGAGGACTCTGACCTTCTCCTGTATAAACACAATGTGGGCAGATAGAGCAGCCGCTGATGTAATTATACCCAGGACGACATCCATATCTAATGAAGGTTTCCTTTAACGAATGAATTAAAAAGAGCTGAAAGAGTTCCATTTTCAGGCTTCAATCCAAACGCACTGAAACGTTTGATTTGATTCGTGGGTTGCAGCTTCGGGTCTCTGAAAAAGAAAAATCAGATTTCAAAGACGAAACACTTCCTCTATAAATCTTTCTGGCGTTAAAAATATAGAACGCCTCAAAACAGATTTATCAGATCTACACATGCATTTTGATAACACATTCTTGGCCTCCCAGCCTGCTGTTTTTCTGCAAGTCTGAGCAAACCTCGGCGGGTAACAGGCAAAGACATTTTTAGGGCGATTGAGGGGTGAAGTGGAGGTCGACCAACATGTACAGAACACACAAATCATTGGACAGAAACAAAACGTTATGTAAATGTTTGTGCATGTAATGCGAGCTAACTGTGGGGGGAGAGTAGGAAGGTCCCCCGTCATCCCCACCTCCCTGGTGTTATTATGCAATGCAAGCCAGAAGTATTTAAGAGCAGAGGCAGGCAGAAAAGAACGGATTCCTTCAAGACTTTTTTCTAACAAGGTATGTATAGACCTAGGACTGGCTAACCTTTTTCTGTTCTGTTTTTGAACAAAGATTGTTTTTTATTGTGCATTTAACACAAAAAAAATGCCTCTCAATTCCTGAAGCCCTCTTCCTCCTCTTGATCCCAGCTTCTTTTCTGTTTTTGTGTTCCTGAAGCAGAATGCTTCGGTACTTTGTGGTCCTTTGCCTCCTGGCGCTGTCCTGGGCCAACGATTGCCAGGTTGCTAACTTTCAGGTGAAACAGGACTTTGACAAAACCAGGGTGAGTTTGAAAATATCTGTTTGTGCATTGAAAAGAATCGCTTTGGTTTAAAAGAAAAACTATTTATATGATAAAGTTCATAGTTTTTTTTTTACTACATTTAAACGTTTGTTGTCCTTCTCTTCCATCCCCGCGTGTACTTGATTTCTGTAGTATGCAGGGACCTGGTATGCTGTAGGGAAAAAGGACCCAGAGGGGTTGTTCTTACTTGACAACGTTGTGGCCGAGTTTACAGTGGATGAGGAAGGCAAAATGACCGCCACAGCTAAGGGCAGAGTCATCATCCTAAAGTAGGTTGCCTGCTGTCCCCTGGAGGTTTATAAGGGGCTCGGCCTTCCTTTAATTTACATTTACAGCAATAAAAACACATAAATCACAGTGGATTTAGCATTTTTTTTTTTTTTTTTTGTCTTTGTCCCTTTTTGATCCACAGCAACTGGGAGATGTGTGCCCACATGTTCGCTACCTTTGAGGAAACCCCTGAACCGGCCAAGTTAAAGATGAAGTACTGGGGAGCTGCTTCCTACCTGCAGACTGGAAGTAAGCTGGATGTCCTTAAAGGGATTTCTTGAATTCCTCAAAAAGGGCAAGAAAACCCAACTGGATTATTATTATTATTATTATTATTATCATCATCATCATTATTATTATTATTATTAGTTTGACTGGAACCTCTTGGTTGAGCACATATTACTCTATCTCTTATTAAAGCACACTTTTATTGTGCCAAAAAAAACATTACTTGACCAGAAAAATGTAAGGATGTTTCATTAAATGTTAATCATCATTAGCGTACATTATTATCATCACATTTTTATAATATAAATATTGTAGTTTTTATATTATTGTGACCTCACACAGCTCAGTATAATCAATTCAATCATGATTAAACCAAAATGGCTCAAAAAAAAAGAGAAAAATGTTTCATTGCTTCTTCTTGGTGTGGGACTTAAAGGGTTAAGAGCTTCCACACACAAACATTAAGCTCTCTCCTACCCGGTCTCATTTAGATGACGAACATTGGGTCATCGACACCGACTACGACAACTACGCCATCCACTACTCCTGCAGGGCTCTGGACACCACCGGCACCTGCTTGGACAGCTACTCCTTTGTTTTCTCCCGTCACTCAGCCGGGCTGAGGCCAGAGGACCAGGCCATCATCACACAAAGGAAGACAGAACTGTGTCTTTTGGGCAAATACAGAAGGGTTGAACACAACGGTGGGTTGAGTTCCTCACAGTGCTCATTGGTTTACACTGACCCTTATGGATCCAGGTGTTTCAGTCAGTCAATGTTAATAAGGTGAAAGACCAAGTTAATGATTAAGTGACCCTTGTGAAGTTAAAACTTTTCATCGACTGATGCATTAGTGGTGATTAAAAGGAATGTCAGTGGTGCCTTTTATTGCTTTTTAAATTTACATATATATATATATTTATATGACATGTTTGGAGTTTGCACTTTTTGTAATCAAAGGTCTTCTTCTCGTCTTTATTGCAGGCTTCTGTGATGTGCCACAGTGACACTTTTGAGGCCCCTCTTCTGTGTTCCTCTGCTGGTTTCAGACTGAATCCCACCTCCACTGCCTCCGTTTATCCTAATAATAAATACAGTACTGTTATTTAAAAATAAACTAAAAAGGGCACATTAAGAATAGTCACATATACATATGAAACTGTTATTTTTTTTAAACTGTCACCTCAGATTTACATCCTAAACACCTGCTTCGTGTTTTGTTTTTCACTGTAATAGAATTACATAATTCAGGTTGTTTTTCTTCTGTGGGAAAAACCAAGACAACAAAACAAGAGCAATAATTTCATAATCTCTGAAAAGGAGCAAACATCTCTGGGTTCTATCCACTTGTTAAATAAAACATTGCTTTTACACCAAAGAACAGCAACGTCTCGTAGTGCATATTAACAAACATAGCTCAGATAGCGTAGCAGTTTGTTTTCTAATCTTAAATTAACTTGTGTTCTTCTTATTTCAGTTTTTAAAATAAAACAATCAAACTCGTCTCTCTGATTCAGTTATTGATGCCTTTTGAAATGAAGCTTATTGCATCATATGAGAAACCAAAACGAGGGAATAAGCTATAGCTTCTGATAATAATTCAGAGAAATGCTGAGAATGTGACTTTTATTTCTACTTTACCTGTACACATACTGTATTTGTATCTTATGAGATAATAATTAGTGTGCTGAGCAGGGTAGAAAATACTATTTTTAAAGGTTTTTCTTGTCTGAACTTTACACTCTGGAGGCAGGCACTTCAGATTTGCAACATTAAAACCTGGCTACCTGGTTACTCCACATACGTATTTCATGAGCATTTTTTAACTCAGAAGTACCCCTGAAGGACTTAGTTGTTCGTCCTTTTATCAAAACTTAGTTAGAGCCTGAGAGGGTTAAAGCTAAAATGGCAAATTTGGGGGGAAAAAAAGCAGATTTTTTTTTCATGCCTCTTAACGACAGCAGCCACCAGGAGCATCTGATCTTGCCTGAGATCGGAGGGTCAGATGCTCCTGGTGGTCCCAAAAACCCGTCTAAAGTCCCATGGTGATTGCTCCTTTAAGGCAATGGCTCTGTGGCTGTGGAACGCTCTTCCTCTGTCGCCATGCTGTGTTGATTCCTTTGGTGTGACTAAAAAACGTGGCTTTTTAAAGTTGCTTTTACCTAATTTTGTTCTCTAATTTCCCTCTGGGATTAATAAAGTATTTTTGAATTGAATTGAATTGTCTTACCATGTAAAACAGGCTTTATGTAGATGGGAAAGATCTATTTCAAGTGCCAACAAACATTTAGATTGGATTTGGTCCTTTCCAAACATTTCATCACACATCATGAAATCTCAATTCCAGTCTTTCAGCCCTATTTTTTATTATTCATGCAACATAGGGGTTTTGGTTTGTTTTGACTGAGATAAATATATCAAATTGAGGGACAACTTTGGCAAACTATTCCACAGAAGCATCTATATTCCAGAAATGTTAACAATGGAAATAAAAAACATACAATTCAATATATCTGAAGGTTTTCTTTCATAAACAATTGATGTAAGAAGCTGTCTATATCAGGACAGAGAGAAATGATTTGTCTTTACTCATTCAAAACATGTAAGATGTAACTTTACACTTCGTTTTACATAAAACACAAAGACAAGCTTCTGAACAGCAGGATGAGTAAGAGCCTTTCCACTCTGGAACAGCATTCCAGAGTGGTTTTAATACCGGCTGCATTGCATTTAGTAGTTATTCTAGTCAGTTGCAGAATTGGAATGCAATAATAATAATAATAATAATAATCAAAAATGATGCCTTTGTTAAAAATATTGGTGGCTTTGTAACATCAGAATCAGAATCAGAATCAGAAAAGGTTTATTGCCATTGTCAGTGAACAAACAATTCACAAACTAGGAACTTGCTTCGGTACTAACGTGCTACATATAACATGAATAATATAATTAAAAAATAGAATAAAGTAGAATAAAGTAGAATAAAATATAATAAACTAGCATAAAACTTTGCTAGTTTATTATAACATATAACCAATCGTGTCTAAAAAAACATGGGAGCAGGTCCAAATCTCTGGGCGATGCCATCTTTCCTTCTATGGGAGCCCATGAGGACAAAATGCATTTATTTCTCCAGCCTTATGGACTCCTTCGGCTTTACCCAGCATGTTTCTGGCCCCACACACACCAGGGGGCACACTCTAGACCTTTTTTTTACCCTGAGTCTAAATGCTGACAGTGTTTGTCCTGAGGACGTTTATATTTAGATCACCATTGCATTTTCTTTAACTTGTCAGTTTCTACATCCCTAGCTCCTGCTCGCCGTATGGTTAGTTCTCGTTTTCTTAATGAGAGCACAGCTAGCAATTTTTCTGCTGCTTTTGATCCACCCTGTTCTTCTGATAACGATCCAGATTCATTAACTTCTCAGTTTAACGAGCTCTGCCTCTCCATTCTGGACAACATCTGTCCTGTCAGAACCAGATCAGTTCCTGCAGTGAACCCTACTCCCTGGTTTAATGACAGCCTTCGCAGCCTGAAGCGCCAATGCAGAAAAACTGAGCGTTTGCGGAAGAAAACCCATCTCCACGTCCATCTGCTGCACCTGAAGGATCTTCTGACAACCTTTAACTCTGCAGTCAGAGACGCTAGGGTTTCCTATTTCTCCAACCTGGTGTCCCGGAGCAAAGGGTACCCAATGTGCTGTTTAACACCATCAGCAGCATCGTGTCTCCTGCCTCTCCTACAGCCTCCATCCACTCTATTGCAGACTGTGAGAACTTTCTGTCTTTCTTTGTGGACAAAGTCAATAAGGTTAGATCTAGCATCTCTCCTTCAGCCTTATCGCCGCCTCTCCCAACTCCAACCAGGCCCATCATCCTAGATAGCTTTGCTCCTGTTTCTTTGCCTGAGTTAACCAAACTAGTTAACTCTATGAAGACCTCTGCATGCCCCCTCCACATCTTACCCTCATCTTTGTTTAAAAGTGCTTTTCAGTCCATCGGTCCCAGCGTGCTCTCTATAATTAATGCTTCTCTGGTCTCTGGTCAGGTCCCTGCTTACTTTAAGAACGCTGTAATCCACCCGCTTCTTAAAAAACTGAGTCTCGACCCCTCTCTCCATAGCAGCTTCAGACCCATCTCTAAACTTCTGTTCTTCTCCAAGATCTTGGAAAAGGTTGTGGCTAAACAACTCACAGCTGCTCTTGATGAACATAACATCTATGATAGTTCCAGTCAGGTTTTCGTAGAGCTCATTCTACTGAAACAGCTCTTCTTAGGGTCTCTAATGACCTTCTGACTCACAGTGATGCAGGGGACTGTTCTGTTCTGGTCCTGCTGGACCTGACTGCAGCCTTTGACACTGTTGACCATCACCTGCTACTAGAGAGGCTCAGAGACTGGGTAGGCCTATAAGGATCTGCTCTGGAGTGGTTCTCCTCTTATCTCTCTGAGCGCTCCTTTTCTGTGGCCATCTCCAAGTTTAGGTCCTCCACCACCTCTCTTACCCATGGTGTCCCACAAGGTTCTGTGCTGGGTTCCTCTGCTCTTCCTCCTCCATCTGCTTCCTCTTCAGCACATCCTGAGCTCCTTCAAAGGAATCTCCTACCATCTTTATGCAGATGACATCCAACTGTACATCTCCTTTAGGCCCCATGAGATGTCTAAGCTGCAGCTGTTACACACCTGCTTAGACTCCATCAAAACCTGGGTGGCTGGGAGCTTTCTACAGCTGAATGAAGATAAGACTGAGATCCTCATCTGTGCCCCAGACAAGCTGGTTCCCAAAGTCAGAGACTCTCTTGGTCAGCTTGCTTCTCACACCAAACCTTCTGTCAGGAATCTTGGTGTGACCTTTGACCCAGCTCTCACCCTGGATTCTCATGTCAGTTCTCTTGTTCGCTCTTCCTTCTTCCATCTCAGGAACATTGCTAAGCTGAGTCCCATTCTGTCCCGTTCTGAACTTGAGACCATTATCCACACCTTCATCTCCTCACGTTTAGACTACTGTAACTCTCTTTTCACGTGTCTGAGCAGAACCTCCCTGAACCGTCTACAGGTGGTTCAGAATGCCTGTGCTCGGCTTCTGACCAAGTCCTCCAAACACACCCACATCACCCCGCTTCTCCTCCAGCTTCACTGGCTGCCAGTCAACTTCAGGGTTCATTTCAAGATCCTGGTTCTGGTCTATAGGACCTTACATGGACAAGCACCATCTTAAATTGGTGATCTTCTTAGTCCCCACACCCCCAGCAGGTCCCTGAGGTCCAGTGATCAAAGCCTACTGGTTGTGCAGCACCAGGCTATAGACCAAAGGTGACAGATCATTTGCTGCTGTGGCCCCCAGACTCTGGAACTCTCTCCCCCTGAGCCAGAGATCAGTGGACTCAGTGGACTCCTTCAAAAAGCAGCTGAAGACTCACTTGTTCAAGCTGGCTTTTGTATGACCTTCTTCACCACTCTCTCTTTATTCTGCTCTCCCCACCTATTCCACCTTCCTCAGGATCCACTGATTTCCCTTTCCTATTCACTCTCTGTCTGTCTTAACATTTTTGTATTCACAATTGCCTATTTTTGCTAATTTTAAATATATTTTTAAACATTTTCTAAATGCTTTTTTATATTTTTACATTTTTTGTTTTTGTGAAGCGCCTCGTGGTTTTTAATCTTGAGAGGCGCTATAGAAATGATGTTTTCTTCTTCTTCTTAGTGCTTTGTTAGTCGGCATGTTGCCCTTGAGGCTGACAACAACAATAACAACAACTTGACATCAGTCATGGAGAGGAGGGAACAAGGAGTGGACAGTAGAGAGGGGGACGGGTGCAGGGAGGGTGCTAGTTTAGAAGATGCTCTCTGAAGAGCAGGGTCTTCAGGAGCTTCTTGAAAATTGAAAAGGAAGCCCCTGTTCTGGGAGTGCTTGGTAGGTCATTCCACATTTGTGGAACGATGCATGAGAAGATCGAGTCTGGATTGTCCTGAGCGTGGTGTAGGCACTGCTAGCTGACGATCCTGTGATGACCGGAGCGGCCGGGCCTGGACGTAAGCCTTTGCAAGAGGATTCAGGTAGATGGGAGCCGTACCATCTCTGACTTTGTATGCTAGTGTTAGCAATTTGAATTTGATGCGTGCTGCTAGCGGTAGCCAGTGGAGCTCAATGAACAGAGGGGTGACGTGTGCTCTATTTGGCTGATTGAAGACCAGATGCGCGGCTGCGTTCTGGACCATTTGAAGAGGTCTCACAGTACAGCCTGGAAAACCAGTTAGAAGGGCATTGCAGTAATTGAGGTGGGAGATGACAGTAGATTGCACCAGGAGCTGAGTGGCATGTTCTGTTTGGTATGGTCTGATCTTTCGTATTTTATACAACGCAAAGCAGCATGAACGAGCAACAGAGGCAACATGATCTTGCCGGAGGTTGCGCTCCCAGGAATTTTTGACCCTAATGCCCATCCGTTGGTAAGGTCTTACTCGAACACAAAAATACTGCTGGTTTGCAATGATTTAGGTTTGTACCGCCCCCTTTTACCAGAGAAAAGACACATCATCCCTTTAAAGTTAAAGCAGTAGATGTTCAGTAATGACCCATCAGCTATTGCAGTAAGATGTCAGAAACAATGAACATTATATACAGTTAAACTGCTTCTTAGCTTAGACATGACTTTAAAGACTGATTATTATCCGAGAAGGGGGTTTACATCTTTATTCCACAGTTCTATACAGTACACGGCACACACACAGACATACACACAACAGCTTTGGAGAACATGATTACGATAAAATGGAGATCTTTAAAGCAGGATAAAACAATGTCCAGACAGCCCGTTTCTAAAATGCAAGCAAAAACTATACATATATAACTATGTATATATGTATGTATGTATGTATATATATCTATATATATATAAACAGAGACTAAAAAGATGCACAGCTCTAGCTGTCTTAAGTCTATTTGGTCACATTGCCAAGACTGGAGGAATAAAAACACCTTAGCCCCTTTCTCCCAACCAGGAGACCTTGAGTAATCCCTGCTGTAAATAGTTTAGAACAAGGAATTAACTCGTGCAATCTCATTCCAGCCTTACAGGGCTGCAGGCTCGAAAAGTCAAGGTGGCGAGAGAGAGAATGCACAGACAAGCTGCCACATGTGAGCAGGTAAGCCTCTACATGTTTAAGGTCTGGGTTACATGAGGCAAATCACAGATCTTAGTCATACATGCTTTAGCAATGTTTTATACCACACCTTACACTGGAACAGGAGGTGCATTAGGCCATCTAGTCCCTGTTTGTAAATGCAAATTCAAGAAAACTTCCTTCACATAAATACTGTCTAATTAGCAAATAATCACAGCAACTTTGTTCCTACATGATGTTACTGAAACTAGGAGTGGTGACTTTACAGCAGTTTGATTCGGCAGAACTAATGTTTGATACGACAAAGTAGATCCCATGATTAGACGATTGTAAATGCACACTAATGTACAGGCAGACACAATACACACAAGGAAGACTAAAAACTATCATCTAAATTCCAAAACTCATTAAAAAACCCTAAGAATAAATAAATGTCATCAGACACACAAAGAAATCCCTCAAATATTCATGCAGGAGGACAGAATCCTCCACAAAGCTGTCAGTGATCAGCTCTGCAGCTCAGTAACATCTAAATGATACGAACACTTGGATCGTGTTGTGGCAGAAAATCGTTCACCAATATTTGGAGAGCCAGTCTCAGAAGTAATGAAGTCATGTTCTGATGATGGAGTTATTTCACTGGAGTGAGTGGGTGGGCTGAAGAAGGAAAACCACGCTTTCCTGGAGATGTGGGACTTTTCCACCTGAACGTGTGTGAATGAGGGTGCTACTGGGACACGTCTGAGTTTTACCTGGATGGGTGTATTATGGGAGTGGCTCTACTGGTCTGTTGTTCCGAGTTCTCAACTTCCTTAGCTCTGTTTTGACAAACTGGGAACTGATTTGGTTCCAGTTTGTTTACAAGTGCTGTTTGAGAAACAGCCTGTAGAAATACGGGCCTCTCGACTGCAGTGGGCCCGATCCAGCCAAACAGCTAACTTTGATTCAGTTCCAATTAAACTCGCTCCTAACAGGAACTAAGACTTTTGGCTTTAAATGCATTTTTAAGAGAGGAGTGGTTGAGAAAACGCCAGTGTTTCTCTATGACCTAAGTTGGACGCCCTTTCAGGCATAGCAGTCGTCGATGTGCACCAGGAGCTCTCTGTGGCGACTGGCTGGGTAGGGAGTGTGACACTTTGGACACTCCAAGAAACTCTCATCCAGGAGGCTGCTGACTTTAGATGGAGACGTTGCATCAAACTCAAGCCTGTTGTACGAACTAGGCTCTGAAAACTGGGCGTTTGGCTGCTTCTGAAACCAAAAACATCGTTTTTAGCGTCCTACACTGGTGAACGCTTTAAATTACATCAAGAGTTTGAAGAACTGATGAGACTTACGGCATATTCCAGTTGAGCAATCTGTTCGCGAGCTTTGCGCAGCTCCTTCAGCACCTTGTGTAATTGCTGCTGCATACTTTGGCGATTACTTTTTTCATTTTCGAAGTCCTTGGCAGAGAGCTGGATCTTAGAGGAGACAGGGATGTAAGCGGAGAGGACAAGAGGAAGCGTTTTGGGATGAGTTGTTAGTGGTTACCTGTTGTTCCAGTGCAGCGACTCTCCTGCGCTCCTCGTTCTGGCTCAGCAGAGACTTTTGCAGCATGTTCACCTGCACATTTATTTGTGTTTAAACCCCTACCCTTTGGTGGAAGGTGAGTAAACGCAAAGACATGCTGTCTCTCACCTGCATCAGGAGCTCAGCAGACCTCTTCCTCTCTTCATCCAGTCGCCTCCCTGTACTCTCCAGTTCTGCTCTCATCCTGTCGGACACTGTTCTTTCTTCGTTTGCTGCATGTCTGGGTGTTTATGGAGGTCACATGATTACCAGTAATGCCACGGTTGTCTGACAGCGGCCACCACAGCTGTCTGAATTTACCTGTTGCCTAACCGCTCTGCCTGCAGCTGGACCTTGACCTCATCCAGCTCTTTGATCTTCTCGTCATACTTCATCAGAAAGGCCGACAGCTCGCTGCACTTGTCTTCATACTTCCTCTGCAGCGCTGACATCTCCTGCCGGGCCTTGCTGACCTGCTGCCTCTGAGACTGCAGCTCAGCCTGAGCTTTCAAGGCCTGCAGAGGCGGTGGACAAACAAATTGCAAAACAGTTTCTGTTTGGCGTCTACTCAGTTCTTCAATCAAGCACCGCAGATCAATTATAAAGATGTCTGAATCCAAGGACTCCAGATAATCAACTGCATACTGATTCACAGTCGTTTCAAAGGAGGGAATGTCAATGGATTTGTTCACCCCCTGAGGGAGTCCAGGGACGAGGTTTACTAAAGATTTAACACACGCCACGGCAAGCAGAATAAACGGTGTTCATGGTGCACTAAAATGCATGCAATCGTTTCAGTCATTTACCTGTTCCTCCCTCACACTCAGGTCTCGCTCGGCTCTGGTAGTCTGGTCTTTCTGGTGCTCCAGGTCCCGTTGCAGCCCTAAAACCAACTCATCATAGTGGCTTTTCATCTCAGATTCCTTCTCCGTCCCTGGAGAGCTGCTGGGGGCTGAAGTAAGAGGAGCTAGCAAACAAAAAGCATTTAGTCTTTAGCCTCATCTTTGTGGATAATTTACAATTGTGTAAAGATTTCTGAAAAAAAAAAAAAAAAAAAAAAAAAAAAAAAAAAAAAAAAAAACCACAAACACTGGAATTCTTAAGATGGATCAATTTTAAGTTTGGACTAGCCGTTTGCTCATCAGTCCTGTTGGACGTAAAAGCTATTTTTCTGAACAGAGGCTGTTCAAGGAGCTACCACAGCAGGCAACTCTAACCTCAAGTAATTATACAGGGAAACGCGTCATTATGTGACTTTAAATTCTTCAGTTTTTGCCAAATTAGTAGAAATATTTACATAGGTGCCCTTGGAAATGTAAAGATTTTAATCAACAGTTTCTGATGATTGTGACTGGCCACCGTTAATTATGACAAGTTAAACTGATCATGGGCCAATAGGAAATGTGACGATTAGATACTTGTGTAGCCATTACTGAGCAGCAAATAACACCAGCAACAACATTTCAGCCATGTGGGAATTTTTACATCCAGAATAATAACGATCAGCAACTGAAAAATCTAGTTTAAAAAGTAAGCTGATAATCTGAATTATTTCTGATGAATTGGACTGGGTCTGAATTGGTGTTGGCAGGTCAGAGCTGCAAGAAATGGCAATCTGCCCTCAAGACAGAATAGGAGCATCTCTGGTTATCAACAGGTCCTGACACGGTTTGAAAGAGCGAGACGTCGGCGTTACCCTCTGACGTGGTTTCAGGGTTGGTTTTCTGCTGATTCAGTTGCTGCTCCAGCTCCAGAGAACGAGCAACAACAGACTGAACGTAGGCCTCTCTCTGCTGATCGTAAGCCAGCCACTGCTGGTTCTTTTCAAGAGCCTGAAGAAAACAAGACACCAAGAGAATGCATTCTTCTGATTTCACGTCAAGAGAGGAACTATGTTCAGATTCACCCAATCATCACTCTGAATTTAAAAAATCCTGTCATAACCCAACACCGCAGTCCAAACCCGGCTCACGACGACCCACAATCACGTTTCACAAATCCAGCAATCTTTGATTAAAGGAATGTGTCCAAGCAGGCAGAAACACACACATTACAGCCACTGCACTCACGTCTCTCAGTTGTTCTTGTACAAGTAGCAGGTCTGCAGGAGGACTCGTTCCATTCTGGGGAGAGAGAAGGTTTTCTTCAAAAGTCTTAAATACAAACGACTCATTTCAGCTGCTCCAAAATAAATCAGTCACTTCTGTTTGACCGTCTTCAAACAAAAAAATAAAAATAAAAAAGAGATTTGATTTATTCTGAATTGGATTCCGTGAAGCAGCTCGTAGCATCTGTGCCTTCTAGTGATCCACACAGTTGGTATTTCACACACAGCTGCTGAGAAGATGCATTTAAAAATAACCATTTTCAACATGACTAAGTTGTGCTAACAGCAAATGATAGGAACAGTTTTTAATGCACTTGACATTTCTGCTTTTTTCTGTTTAGTTTTTCAGAAGAAAATCTCAGAAACAAAAGTGCAGATCTGCCAGAGGCTCCAAATCGCACACAGGCTCACTGCTTTAACATATTCCACCTGATTCTAAATAATGCAAGAAAACCACACAGCAGCGAGTGAGGAATCTATGCTCCACTACTTTTCAAAGCCTTGGCTTGATGACCCGGGTCACCGACCCTGGAGTCAGCTCCGTCCCCAGAGCAGTGCTCACAGCTGCAGCGCCCTGCGACGAGCTCCCCAAGAACCCCAAAGACTCTTCACAGCTCTGTGACCGGAAGCACACGAACAATCACGACTTTGAGATCTTACAGCATCAGATTGGTTTACACGTCTTCCAGGGCTAGCAGCAACTTCCGCCACACTCAGGATGTTTCTCACGAGACTAAACGAGCCAGAGAGGCTGCAAAGGGAAGAGCAGTCCAAGAATATTAAAACTAACCGAGACACAAGCACAAAAAGTTTGATACGTTTTAAACACAGACTATACAGAAACACACAAATTATAATACCTATACACTCACTCAAGCCCCCTGCATGTTACCTGAAGCCCCACTGCACACACACCTGAGGTCTCTGTGGCAGGTGAATCTGAAACCAGCTGTAGGGAACATTAGCTGACAGCTTAGCATTGCTATTCCATCAATATGCTGAATATTTAAAAGTGACACAAGTAGCTCCATCTATTTATAATTACCCTCTGCACACTAGAGCTTTGTTGTTTCAGTCTAAAAATATCATAAAAACAATCTCAGAACATCTAGCTTAAAAGAAAATAAACAAATAACCTTTAAACATCCTGCGACCTGTGAGTCACACATGCGTATTTTCCCCTTTTTACATCTTATTACAATGATGCATCCAAGAGATGGCTTAAAGGAATTAAACAGGACGTGTGAACTATGCCAGAACTTCTGGGCTGGGAAGGAGGGAACACCTAATGGATCATGTTTACATCCTTACTCAACCGTAAAACCTGCAAAAAGAAAAAAAAAAAAAAAACTAATCTAAATTTTTACCTCATGTTATTTTTTAAAACTTGTGTAGGACAAGTTAATTGTTTTTGATGTACTTTACTACCAAGACCTTTTAAAGCAGCATGTTCTACATTTCTCTTCTGTAATTAGTAGCTCTTACTGCTGACAAGGACAAAACATTTAGATGAATAACTAAATGTTCACCTTTACTGAGTTTATTTGGGTTTTGAAACCTAGAACAAACACTGCCACCTGATGGATAGAAAAGGAGCTGCAACCTCAAACAATCTGGAAAACATTTGTTTAAAATATTCAATAAATGTCTTTAACATGAACATTAAAAGCAGCTCTATCCACTCATCCAACCACAAATGGAAGCTCATCACACCAGTTATGACTGAGGTGAGAAAATGATGCAGAGAAATTAGCTAATTTGGTGAAAATATTACGGAAAAAAAAGCATGTTCTGAATCAGATGTTGTGCAATAGAAAGAGAATGTTGGGATGAAGGCAGAGGACAAAAAGCTGCTGCAAGATTTAATCTTAAGCCTGCGGGGAGATGCACAGTGTGGGTGGGTGGCGAGGGATAACGCCGCCAGTTCAGCTTCTTGATGCTTTAGTGCAAAAGAATAAAAGCAAGAAGCTCCAAGATCGTTTTTAATCATTCATTCATTCATTTTAAAACACTAAAGACTTCACAGGCTGTACCAGCACAAGTTCACAGCCAACTCTTTCATTAAGAGGCAGCTCATGTGGAAGAAGAGGCATGTTTTCAGAACAATTAACACCAGAACTCCCAGCATTTTCTGATTCCCGCAGCTCTACCAGAGCTTTGTCAAATGACTGCTTGGTTTGATACAGAGCTACAAAGAAAGAGAGTTGCAACACTCCAATGGACTTCTATGGAAAGAATGGAATGGGGAAGTCACGTGGTTCATGTAGCTTCGAATAGTTCCACACAGCCCCCGCTGCTGCATTGACCGTAGTTCACGTTCGGTGTTTCGGAAGGATTTTCTCCAGTAAGTTGATGAAATGTCATCATTTTATTGCATTGTGAAGCGTTAGCTAACCGCTTCATACCAAAATAAGCCAACGATGATATTTTGTTGCCAGGTTTTTCTAGATAACCTTTAATGAGCTAATTGTGTGCAGCTTGTTGATTGTGAGCAGGAGGGTTTAGACAAGCTTGATGAGCTGCAGATGGGTTTATTTCAGTTTGTTTGATTCTACGTTTTAAAAATATTCCCCACAGTTTGAAATAGGTTATAAACTTTTTACATTATTAGTTTTATTTGGGATTTTTTGTAAAATACGCTGCTGGTTGCTGTATCAACACGAACATGCATCAGAAATGGAAGCACAAATGGAGAGACCAAAAATAAAGAAAATGTGATTGTGAAGACATGTAATTATTTAATATTTGTCAGTTAATAACCCTGACTGCAACGAACTGCTGAAGCATGAGACAAACAAGATTACGAACGTAAGAAGATATGTTGTTCTGTTTTGTGGACTCAAGTAATAAGAATAGAATTACGATATTTCAAGAACAGTAGTCGAACACAATAACTTTTAAAAATTAGACATTTTCCATAAAACTGCTCTTTTCCACTTGCTTTATAATATTAGCATTTGTAATTTTGTTATTAAGTAAGGAATGACAAGAAACAAGAATTAACAATAACATAACTATCAATAAATAAATGTCAAAGAGTTACTAAAACAAAAATCTTATGTAACCATTAAAGGTTAAACTGTGTTGTGTGTTCATCTTCATGTTTTCATAGTGGCTGAGCGGAGAGCTGACGAGGAACAACGGTGGTGGCTAAACCCAGTTGGGTCTGTGATGGAGGGATACACTGTCATGTTCTGTGTCCCCTTGGTCCCCAGCCCCCTCCTGTTTGTCCTCTGTCTTCTCCTCATGTGTCTCCTGGTGCTTCCCAGCTTCTCAGGTCTCTCCAGTCACCCCTCTGTAGTTTTATTTTCTATAGGTTCAGCTTTTCATTTTATTTGTTCCCTTTAGTGTTTGTGTCCTTCCCCACTTGTTAATTAGTCTTCCTCACTCCTCCTGTCATTAGTTGTTTATCTTGGCCCTTAGTTTCTGGGTTTAGTTATTTAGTGTTTTTATAGGTTATGTTATCTTCCCCTCTGCTTGGTTTTCCCTCCCCATGGAGTTAATTGATCACACCTGTCACCTGTTCCCCTGATTGCTTTCCTCTGTGTTAAAAGCCTGGCTTGTCCTTCAGTGTTTGTTGGGTCATTGTCGTACGTGTTGCGTTGTTCGTTCCCCTCTCGAGTCTCGCCGAGTCCCTGCTCATGTGTGAGCTTTGTTAATTTTGAGTTTTCAACTTTTTGAGTGTTAGTCTTATTTCCTGCTTTGGACTTTTTAGCACATCCTCCTTAAATAAAGGACTTGTTTTTCTTAAAACCTCTCCTGCCTTTGAGTCGTTCTGGGTACTTCTGCATCCTGGGTCCAACCTCCTCTCCTAAACGTGACATGCACGCCTGGAGTGATTGCCATCTCATCCACAGTAAGCACACACTCTCTTTCCATCTCTGTCAGATTTTTAACCTTCAAACTGAGATGTCAAATTGCATTTTAAAATTTTATCCAACCCTAAAATTTGTCATTTCAAATTTTAACCCACTGACAAATTTTATTTGAATAAAATTCAAAATAAAGTTATTCAAAAGAGTTTCATTAGGTCTTGAGTACATTGCTCATAATTAATAGTTCAGCTTATTCATTTCTTTACAATTAACACACTTATTCATCTACTGTGTTTGACCATACAGTTTTATTGAAAATTTCTTTTTTATTAGTTGCTATTAGTCAGGCTATAGAAGCCGGATAAACTGGGTTATAGATGCATGTACTGTCTTCACATAAACATATGAAGTAATGACTGTAAAATGTATTCTACTGAACATAATAGATCATTCAAACCATAAACAGCTACATGTTTTCTTCAAGGTAAGCTGGAGCAGATTTCTAGCTTTCAATAAACACTTTAAAATGGATGTTACAACTCGAGTTTAGGGCTTCTTGTAGGACTTAGTTATTATTATTATTATATTAGAGCAGTGTGTTGCATTACTATATCAAATTTATTGCTATAATATATTATAGTAATGTATGTGGTCTAAATGCGTTCTACAGTGTGTTAGGACTGTCGTGTTCCTGTAATGTAGAACAGTCACGGGTGTCTGTCTTCCTACAAATGCTCGGAAAAATATAAATAGGCTACTTTGTGAAGGAATTAGGACATAATAATAATAATATATAATATTATTCAATAATTACCAAAAATTGCCAGGGGAAATGTGACAATATTCAATTTTTGTGATCTGTCCCACCGTCCGCCGTTCAAACTGACTTACGGCGCTGGGATGTTTGGAACTATTGAGAGCTCCATGAACCACGTGACCGCGAGTCAAAGCGTGTCGTAACTCTCTCTCTGTTGACCCTTTGCACATGACGTCACGCCACTCATGAGACAGCCGCCTTCGCCATGACGGACGGCAAAAACACTGTTTACACCCGTTGAAACTCAAGTGAAGCTAGTCAAAACGAGCCAGTTTGTAGCCTTTTATCACTTTTATTTAGTTGATTTGACAGTAAAATGGTTATCGTAAGCTTGCTGCGTGGTTGGCTGCACTAACCGACAAGGACGTAAACTCAACTCATTTTGTTTTTTTAATAACTTTGATGGACAGAGATGAACTGCAGCGATCAATCAAGCGGACTAGCAGCCCTCAGATTTGCAGCGAACATGTTTTTACCGGGTAAGATTAACGTTCATTTATTTCACGAGGAAGACAGGGACAGGGATAAATGTGATGTGTTTGTTTATACTAGGTATTGATAATCCTGATGGATGGGTATTTCACCACGGAGGCTGCGCTCCGACCACTGTAGTGTAAAGTGAGACAATTATTAACAATATTAAAGCTCCGATGTATGATTGTGTGTTAAAATTACGTTATTTATTTATATGAGCGTTGCCGTTCAGGGATCTTCTCATTCCGGTGTGAGAGCAGCAGCTGAACCCGGTAACACCACCAGCAACAGAAGCTGGTAGAGATCCGGACTTTTTAAAAAATCAGCTTTGATGTAAAGTGAAACGCTGTTTACAACATAAAGTTATAAATCCAGCGGGGTGAATTTAGGCAAAGTCAGCAACATGTTTACATCGGTGAACAGCTGCAGAGAGAATGTAAGCTAACGTTGGTAAGCTAGTTCACATACCGCTCTCTATGAGCCCCCGATAGATGTGCTTCTTCTGATAACTGAACTGGGCATGAACCAGTTGAAGGAATGCTGGAGTTTTGTTTTTGTTTTGATCGCAAAAACAATTTCAGGCTCTACTTTTCCCTTTGTTTAGTAATCGCTCACTGTTTACATGCTTTTGCCATCCAGCATCGTGGACCCACATGATTAGGTGACCTCGGTGAAAAGGGTCAATGGCTCTGGTTTAAAAACAATGATTAAATCACTGATCGTTAGCTGCCTTTCATTTGTAAATGCAGCCAGCCACAGACGATGGCCAGTGGAACGTGCTTGGGTGTTGGGGGTTGTCAGTCTTTCAGGCTGGCTCAGTGGCTCTAATTGCCTCCCTTCTGTCTTGAATCTGTTCAACTGAACTTGTCCATCCAAAGACTTCACAGAAGCACACAAAGGACAAGAAAGGATTTTTTATATAGCGCTTAACAAAAAAAAAAAAGCATGAGTCGCTTCAAAAGAACAATTAAAATATAAAAGAGGTAAAAATATCATAAAAAATTGAAGATAAAATGAAGAATTAACCTTTTTAGAACTTGAAACTCAAATTGTGTTGCATTACTACATCAAATGCATTGCTATAATATATTATAGTAATGTATGTGGTCTAAATGTGTTCTACAGTGTGTTAGGACAGTCGTATCCCTGTAATGTACAACAGTCACGGGTGTCTTCCTACAAATGCTCGGAAAAATAAATAAATAAATAAATAAATGGGCTACTTTGTGAAGGAATTAGGACATAATATATAATATTATTCAATAATTACCAAAAATTGTCAAACTAATGTGACATTATTCAATTTTTGTGATTTGTCCCACCATACGCCGTTCAAACTGACTTACGGTGCTGGGATGTTTGGAACTATTGAGAGCTTCATGAACCATGTGACCGCGAGTCGGCGAGTTCAAACCTCGTAACTCTCTCTTTCTACAGCTCTGGTTTAATAACTCTGATTAAATCACTGATCATTAGCTGCCTTTCATTTGACCTGAGTATGAAAACAAACATTTGGGAACTTGAAATGTTTGAATCTTTGAATGAATTGTCACTACACCACCGATTCACATGTAATTACCACATTTACAGAACAAAGGCAACCATCCACAAGTGATTAAGAATCCTAGCTAACAGCCCGGTCAACCGACAACTCTCTGGGAGTTCTAGTGTTAATCATTCTGACAGGTTAAAAAAATAAATGATTGCATTAGGGTCAGCCTACCGCAGCCTGTCCTTCCAGGGCCTGACAACGAGCAGAAACGGTGGCCAGCTTGTTTTTTAGATTCTCAGTCTCCTGTGACAAGCTCTGGAACATCGTGTCCCTCTGCTCTGCCTCTCTTCTCCGCTGCTCCAGCTGGGCCTGCAGCGATGCTACCACCTGAAATGCAAAAAAAATAGCAGCAACTTGAGAAGCCTCTATAACAAACCGTGTTAACCCTTTAAAAGGAATGTTTATGTGTGGCTGCAAATATCTCTTATTGGCATCACATGGCTAGAAGTCTGGTGGCGTTGCCCACTTGGCGCTTCCACTGATGAAACTTAATGAGGAGGAGGCAAGCGTGATTAATGTCTGGGCAAAACAAAACGCTGATATTCCATCTATCAGCGTGTCATCTCAGAGTTTGGCTCACCGCCACTCCGGCTAGACTAAATTAGAGAACCATTTCCGCAACAATAGAAGACAGATTACACGAGGATAAGCAACAGCCGCAAATGGGCAGCGTGAATTTTCACGCCCGTGTCAAACTGTAACAAGTCTCGAATGCTAATCCGTACAGACAGCCACAACACACAAATAGTTTATAAACGTCAGCTGTACAGAATAAAACGGCGTGTGTTGGTTTGCAGCTTCTGCTGCTTGTCTAAACTTCACTTTGCAGAGCTGCTGTCAAAAAGGGATAGAAGCTATTTCCCTCCTGTTTGTGGCAGCTCATTGTGATTCTATGACCCCCCCAGTTGCCTACATATGCCACCAGTATAACACCAAGATTCGGGGTGGGGGGCTTTCACAAGCTGAAGCCTACACAGCTGTGGGTATCTTCTTATTCAGATTGGGACAGTAATGCCTCTGCGTGTTTTTCCATGTGCCCGTGTGTACGGGGCTCCTCTTGATGGATCCTTGACTATATATATATGTGTGTGTGATTTATGGACCACATATTTTCACACACAGTTGTCAGTGTGTGTACCTCTCCTCCTCGAGCTGTCAGCTGCCGTCTCAGAGTTTCCAGTTCCTGCTCTTTAACCAGTAGCTGCTGATTGTTCCTCTCACGCAGCGTCTCGAGGGAAAGAATCCTCTAAGAAAAAAATATTACATATACATGAAGACAAAAAAAGATAAAAACAACCTAAAGGTGCTGCATATCTTTAGTGCAATGCTTCTTTACCTCCAGGAGCTTGCTTTTGTCTGAGTCTGCTGGCTTGATGTGCCGTTTGGCCATTTCGTCCACCTTTTTTCTCAGATGAGCGTTCTCCTTCCTGACTTTTTCAAGCTCTGCTTCAGCTTTGGAGACTGAGCTGCTGGATTTGAATCCCAACCTGGAGACGAGGGTCTCTTTGGCACCTTTAGAGGTCATGGTTTCCTCTGTTGGCACTGCGGATGCAACAGTGGAGTGATCTAGAGAGAAGAAACATTTAAAATAGGATGGTTTCATAACATCCAGCAGAAAGAGAACATTAACGTATTTACTCTCTTATAAGTGCCATTAGGCGGTGAAAACTAGTTTTATTAGCTTTATTTTTTCTAAATAAGTTGGATCAAAAACAGGACAAAATATAAACAAATTGATTGAAACGAGCTAAAAACTGCACCCACTCAACGAATGTGTTTCTTTAACGTCCTTTTTTACACCTAATCTAACTCCTTATGCTCTAAAGTCTGGCAATTTTAATCAAACGTCGTTATAAAGTTGTAATTACGCGTGAAAGCCATAAGATAGACACTCTTTGCCGCACCTGTCTTTTCGGAAACTAACTGATGGAGGTAAATTACTGAAAAATCGCCGAATATGTTTTCAAATGTTAGCGTTTAAGGGCAGAACAAACGTCCCTTGTCTAGATTAATTAATGCACAAATAAAAACATACTTACACGAGAGAAGAATCGAAAATATCCACCCAAACTAGGATGTCTGGACGGAGACCGTTGTTTAGCCCACACTTTTATTTCCTGAAGTTTGAATGGCAGCGCGTTGACGTCACGTCCGTAATGAGGGGGCGGGGTGCGAATGGTAACAAAGTCCCGAGTGTGCCGGTGTGTGAAATGATGGGCGGTACTTTGTGCCAGTGCTCATATGCAACTTCTGACTGAACTTAGAAACTTTGAAACAACCTAAAATAAAAAAATTACAAAAAGGTGGACCAAATGTGTGAAACTTGTCTTTGTTTGGATCAAAGTGAGCTTCAGTCCACAGCAGTGCATGAAAACCATCACCTTTTAAAAAAGTCCTCCAAAACTTCCCACAAAACTATCATCAGCAGGGGCGCAATTTTCTAGCCACCCCTTGGGGATACCATTGATCGTCAGGGATATAAAAGGTATTAATAAAACCTTTCGGCCAGTAAATGTTCCAAAATCTGCTTTTACTATTTCTCCTATAAAATAATTATGAATTTGAAAATAAGATAAAAAGCATTTTGCAGCAGAGTGTGAAGCGGGTGGGATGAGAATCAGCTACTCTAATTCTGAGACCATGGTGTTGAGTCGGAAAAGGGTAGAATGCCTTCTCTAGGTCAGCGATGAGGCCCTGCCTCAAATGGAGGAGTTTAAGTATCTCAGGGTCTTGTTCACGAGTGAGGGAAGGATGGAGTGCGAGATCAACAGGTGGATTGGTGCTGCGTCTGCAGTGATGTGGGCGTTGTATCGGTTTGTCGTGGTGAAGAGAGAGGTGAGCTTGAAGGCAAAGCTCTCAATTTACCAGTCGATAAGTCTCAACCCTTACCTATGGTAGCGACCATTGGGTAGTCACTGAAAGAATGAGATTGTATCCACAATCGGCTGAAATTAGTTTTCTCTGCAGGGTGGCTGTGCTCTTCCAGGGTGAGAAGCTCTGTCATCTGGGAGGGGCTATGTGTGTCAGTTAAAGACAGTACATATTTTAATCGACCAGCTGAATTTGATGAGACCTTCAAGGTCATAAAATGATGGAATGTTATTAAATATAGTCCAGTTTGGTTATGAAAAAGACAAAAGAAATTTAAATGAAGAGATGTTTTTTAATATAATTTTTGTAAATAAAATACAAGGAAGCAAGGCTGCATCAAACCCAGTTAACTGCCTGCTGTCTCCTCATTTCTCCTGTTATTCAGGACATTTCTTCTGATGCGGGTCTGCCCCCTAGACCGGACCCTTAACAGTAGCATCTTCCTGTTGTCCTGCCTTGTAGTCCAGGAACCTTACATTCAGGGGAAAATAAACTCATCAGGCACATTCCAACAGATGGAGTGCAGATGATGGCTCTCTTTACAAATGAAAGGCAGCTAATCTCTGTTTCCATCGCAACAATATAGACAATCTGCATCACTGATTACATTAACTTCTGTACACAAAGGAACAGTTTGTTGCTTCCCCAACAATAAATCCTAACCTAAGACATTAAAACCACAATTAACAAGAAGAAGAAATCTAAGATTGCAGAGGGAAAAATGCGGGCTTACAACCTAAACTGAGTTAACTCGCCTACATCTACTCCCCTCATGCTTAAGCCTGATTCATGCTTCTCCATCAGCTCCGCAAGGGACACACACGCACGGATTGACGGAAGCATTTTGCTCTCATACTTCTCCGTCTCCTGGGGAGCGTTGCAAAGCAATTCCCCACCAGTACAACAGAAGGCGTAGCTTGGTTCTGTAGTATCCTGTCATGTATCCGGTCCAAGATAGTGTGTTTTTTTTTTTTTGTATATAGGAGACTTTTTAACACAGACGAATTTGTCTCTCATTCTCCTCCACCTCTTCATGCGCTCGCCACCTCTAAACCCATGTTTCCTGTCATTTCCGTCCACAAATAAAACGCTTGCTGTGCATCTTTTCACTCCTCCTGTCACGGGGAATTAAACATTCATGTTTTTAGTTTTTTCGCGAGGTATTCAAGCTGCTCCATGTCTGCCGCTAGTTATCCTTGGCTTTCTTTATGTTTTTGAGGGCGCAATGCCGGCGGTGTAGACAACAGCGGCGTCCTGACCAATCACATGCTTGCGTTGTCCGTCTCGACTGACGGATGTTTAGAAAAGAGAGCTCGACCATCCTTGCGGAGCTCTCCGGCAGGCCCGCAAGGACGTTGCGTGTCTCCGCACTGACGCAGACGGGGAAGCATGAATCAGGCTTTAGCTCTTCGCTCTTCTCACCTTCACTGCCCCCCACCCCCCCCCCACCCCCCAGCTCGTCTCTCTCTGTCCCTCTCAGCTGATGACATCAGAAGTGAGCTCCTTCCCCAGACTTTCCACTCAGTGATTTGGGCCCTTGTCTTTAAAAGTTTTTGTACACTCCTCCAATATAGACTATGAAGCATGCACACTTATGTAAAGGTTTCACAAAAGCAGTCTGTCATAAATAGAGCTCTGGGAGTTGACGTCACTTCTCCTGGCCTGCAACAGTTCAAATCAAAATGGCACCATCTTGGAGGGCAGAAGCCCGCAGCTGGACTATTTGTTATTGACTAGTGATTTCTCTTGGTGTTCATTTTATACATTCAAACTGCACAGCACTCTATTTAAAATTCTTACAAGTAAATCTATGTTATTTGTCCATCCATCCATCCATCCGCCCGCTTATCGGGAGTCGGGTCGTGGGGGCAGTAGCCTACGTCGAGAGGCCCAGACTTCCCTCTCTCCAGCCACTTGGGCCAGCTCCTCGGGGGAAATCCCAAGGCATTCCCTGGCCAGGTCCGCTCCGACAGCTTCTGGCGTTTTTAAAAAGTATCCCAGGGGCATGGCAAGGGTCGGAGATGTTTAGTCTATTTAATTTCTGACAAACGATTTATTTGGTTTTAAAGTGTGAAGTAAACTTAGACGGAGTAAAATCCAAGCCGATCCCGTTTATTTTGTTTACCTTTGTTGCCTGCCAACATAGAGTCACGTGATGTCCGGAGCTCTATACTGTTGGGTGGACAAGTCTAGCTAACTAGATTCAACAGAGAGAACACAAGAGGAGGCCAGCCTAAAGGACACCTATCAAGCACATTCCAAACACGATGGCTATATTTACAAATGAAAGGCAGTTAATTGTCAGTAGCTGGTGTCATGAACTTGTCGGTGAGTGGGGACGATGTGCGAATCCAAATGCTGGGAAGGAAGCAGGCAGACAGACTGGAACATGCAAAAGGGTCTTTAATAATGAATGCACACAGGACTTGGAAACAATGAACTAACAAGACACACAGAACTGAGAGGGTTTAAATTCATGAGGGCTGGGAGCTTGGGTGATTGGAAAACGAGAGGCAGGTGGGAGTAATAAGGAGACACAGGACTGAACAGAGTGGGGAGACAGGACAGGGTGACAGCCTTCTACAGGATTCCCCAAGATCCAGAGCGCCGCAAACGTTGGATCATTGTAATAAAACGCGCTAGTGACCGGGCTAAAATGAAACTGTGGGATCCCGAGAGTAAAGGTTTTCACTTATGCAGCGACCACTTCATATCAGGTACTTAAACCAACGTTGCCTCAACTGTGTATGGTATTTATTTTAAATGCTTTTATTACGATTCTTAGTGAGCTTCCTAAACTTATTATGGCGTGGCTTTTTCTGTCTTATTACTCACAGCAACAAGTAAACATCACATAAAACATTGCCTCGTGAGTTCTGCATGCTGCCGTTCACGTGTCTTATGATCACAGCAATTAATCGGCTAAGCTGTATTTAATTTTTAAGCGATGGTTGATCAATTGTCAGATCACACATAAAAAGCACTTTGGATTGCTATTATCTGTCTCACCAAGACAGATCTCAAACAGATCCTGAGACGCTCCTGCCTGACATGTTAGATTTTTTTCCATGAATAAAATAAATTAGTGATTTCTCTTGGCATTCAATTTATACATTAAAATAGCACAGCACTCAATTTAAACTACATACGTGTAAATCTGTTATTTGTCCATCCATCCATCCATTTTCATCCGCTTATCCGGAGTCGGGTTACGGGGGCAGCAGCGTCGAGAGGCCCAGACTTCCCTCTCCCCAGCCGCCTGAGCCAGCTCCTCCGGGTAAATCCCAAGGGGTTCCCCGGCCAGGTCCGGTAAGAAGTCCGCTCCGACAGCTTCTGGCGTTTTTAAAAAGTATCCCAGGGGCATGGTAAGGGTCGGAGATGTTTAGTCTATTTAATTTCTGACTATATAAAACGATTTCTTTGGTTTTAAAGTGTGAAGTAAACTCAGACGAAGTAAAATCCAAGCCGATCCCATTCATGTTCATGTTTACGATCCGTGTTTGTTTACCTTTTTTTTTCCTGCCAATATGGCGTCTATTAACTGAGAGTCACGTGGGGTCCGGAGCTCTATAGAGTGAGGGGAAGACAAGGAATTACTGATTACTGACAGTTATCAACAGCCAGGTGAGGCTAATCAACAGAGAGTAAGACGAGACGCAGAGATACTGGAGGAAAAGGACCAAGAATAAAATGGAACAAAACCACAAAAATAAGTGATGAAAATTACTGAAACTATTTCTGCAACTTCAGAGGCAAACTAAAAGCCGCTTGAGGCTGAGTCGGGCCGGCGTGACGCGCTCTTTACAAACATCAGCTGCGATTTCAAATGTGCTTTTCCAAAAACTTCATTAAAGTAACTCAAATTAACTCGAAATTATTCTGCAATCATACTTCTTATAAGCTTTTACGGGAAAATGATGCAATGTAATGTAATAATGTTATGATTGTGATTTTTTTATCTGTAATTCCTCCTAAAAACAATAAAAAAGTTAAAAATATACAGTAAAAACATTCTTGTTCACTCTTTTGCAGCAAGCTTATTTATCATTTTTTAAAGTTATGTAAAAAGATTGTAATCTCACTCAGTTTAACCATCTTTTATTTGAGGTAGTTTAGTCCTCATAATGGACAATACGTTCTGTGGATTTTGAAATATTTGCTCTTGACTGCCCAAGGGAAACGGATAATTTCAGGGGAACATAATTTCCTACAACACCTGTTTCACGTGGATCACGGCGCCTCGATGTAAACAAACTGGCTGCCACTCCCAGCTT